GAAGTCACTATAGACATATTCCATCTCCTATACATTTACACCGTGCCAAGAATGAGGATGACATGAAACTTACTAAAACTGTTGCTGTAAGGCAGAGAAACTTTAATCAATTTCTAGCATTTTCTAAATGCATATCTATATTCAAAATGACTGAAAACACATTAAAAATATCCTATTCTACACAAGGAGATGCTTGTTTCATAATCAGTGTAATGATCACTAATGATTTTGATTTATTTTAAACAAGTGATTAAATATTTCATTTCTGCCAACATATTCATTATAAATTATCCCTCATAATGAGACAAATGTGTGCTTTTCAGGTTGATTTTAATATACTGCATTCAACTGGAAAGAACTGAACAAATATTCTGCATGTTCTCTAATTTTTCTCTTAATTATTTTCCCCTATTCCCTATTCTTTTTTTTATTGTCTCTTCTTGTTTTTCTTATTGCCCTATTTCCCTCTCCTTTCCACTATTCATCCAGCATATAAATAGGAGGTGCCTATACATGTGCAATAAAGAATAAGAATTTATGAGTGTTTCAGCTTAAGTAGTACCTTCAAGAGAATGTCAGAGTAACCCTTACCATAATTGTGAATAGAGGATACAAAAACAAACCAACTACCAACATGTTAACAGGTTCCAATAATCTCACTGCTTACCTCAAATTCTAATTTCACTTCCCTCCCTCTAAATTCCTCCTCCAGATCCCAGAAATATTCTAAATCCCTCAACATTGGCCCTTTACTCCAGCTATAAAAATAATTCCAACAATCTAACCTCTTATTTTTCACCTACTTCCACTCGAGCGGATCCCCAAGCCTTGGCGGGTGCGCGCGCGCGCACACACACACACACACAAAAGCAATAAAATGCCTCCGAAAACAATCACACAAAGAAGACCCAAAGGGCATCAATGGGGAAGAAATCAAACCCAAATGGCTGAATTATATGAAATGATAAAAGAAGAAACAAAGAAATGCAATGAGTTCAAAGACAATAAACTAAACAGATAATTTACTTAATAAACTGATCGATGAATTCAATGAAGATTCAACTAAAAAATTAGCAGAGCTAATCAAAATGATTTAGAACACAAATGACTAATTTAGCAAAAAACTAGAATCAAGGAAAATGTAGAAATAAAAACTTTTATTGACAGTATAGGCAGCAGATGTGACCAGTGTGAAAAGAGTTAGTACTAGAAGATGGGTCTCATGCACATAAGATGATGCAAAGAAGACTGATCTAAGACTAACTGGAGTTAAATCCAAAAGAATTCAACACAGAGATAAACAAGATAAACATAGAAGCCCAAATAGTCATGACCAGAAAAGAACTTCTCTACAACACACTGTAGGCAAAATTCCAACAGTTCAATACAAGGACAGAATGTTAAAAGCTGTTAGCGAAAAACAACAAATCAGTTATAAATCCCATTAGGATTACATCAGACTTCTCAACACACCTAGTAAAATGTTTTAAGCCCCCTCCACAGAAAAAAAGAAATTTTCAACCCACCCAGACTCGTATATGAAGCCAACAATATCAAAAAGTCTGATGGAATGAATACATCAAGCAGGGTGAGGAGTTAAGCAAAGGGGGAGAATAAAGGAATCAAAATAATTAAAAACAGAAAAAGAATGCAATGACAGAAATGTCATTACCTTAAAAAAGATCTAGGAAGATATTTTTCCAACACATTTGGAATGACAAAACACCTCTCTGTTAAGAAATGGGATTGGATGTCATCTAAAAGAGATCCTATTCTATAATGCCTTAAAATCTTAAATACATTTATGCACTAAAGCATAATTTTTAAAATATTTATTAAAAACATGGTTATAAGTCATGCAATTAAAAAAAAGTGTTTGGATTTTTTTCTTTCTTTCAGTGCTGATTGAACCCAAGGCCTCACACATACTAGGCAAGCTCTCCACAAGTGAGCTACATCCTCAGCTCTTGGGTTTCATTTTTATTTTATTTACTAAAGCTGTTTTTTATTAGAGTGTATTTGCAATACATCATAGTTACTTTTGCTTCGGAGGACTGGTACATTTGTAGTATATCCTGACCATTTTTTTTATTCCTTTAAACACCACCCAACCTTCCTTTCTCTTCTTCTTCCTGATCTTCCCTATCTTATTTTCTTCCTATTTGTTTTTATACCAATTTTGGTACTTTAAAACTACAAATGGATTTCCTGAAATAGAGTCACAGTTTATAACCCTGTCACTACTAGAAATAAAGCTTCAATTTATACAAGTGTATTGGTCAGTTGACAAAACACCTGAAATAATCAAATTGAAAAGGGAAAAGTTTTTTTTGGTTCACAGGTGCAGAGGTCTCAGTCCATGGTTGCTTGATCCTGTTGCTTTGCGTCTGTGGTGGCACAGTGATGGTGGGAGCATGTGGTACAGGAGCCCTCTTCCCCTCATTGTGGCCAGGATAAAACAGACAGGAAGGGGCTGGGGTCCCAATATCCCATTCCCAGGCATGCCCTTAATTACCTAACTTCTTTCCACTAGCCCTACCTCCTAAAGTTCCTAACACTTCCTAATAGCACCAAGCTGTAGACCAAGTCTTTAACACATGGCTTTTTGGAGGACATTCAAGACCTAAACTTTAGCAGCAAGTTTGCATTTTAACTATCCAAGAATTGATCAGAACATACAAAGGAGGTCATCTTTTCAAACAATTCCCAAATGTTTGTCTCTGAATTGTTTTCACTACAGTAACTGGGATAGTTAGACAGTTTGGTTTATTTTTATTCTATATTCTCAGAATCAGTCAACAAATAGTAAAGCAGGGAGCCAGAGGCAACAGGAAAGAACTACACCAGCTTCTGCCTGTCTTGCAAAGGAGCAGCGTCTCATAAGGTTAGAGAGCTGATCTGCCTTGAAGCAGTCCTAGGATCGTGACGTGAGTGACGTGTGGCTTCTGCGTCATAAGCTCTCGCAAACAGGACTATTCTGGGCCCACTAGGCTGAGGGTGGAGGCCCCAAGCCAACCTTCTGAAAACTGCCAGAAATCTGAACCTTGACTACCCATAAGGCTACAGCACAGATCTGACTACTCTGATTGATATGTACTTTTTAAATTCTTTATTTTTTAAAACAAAATGAATTATGTGGAATTTATGGGGAATCATGTGATGTTTCAATATAGTATATGTTGTACAATGTTCAAATCATATTAAACATAATTATCTCCTCAAACATTTATCATTTCTATTTGGTGAAAACATTCTAAATCCTTTCTTCAAGCCATTTGAAATTACCATTATCCATAGTCTCTGTACTGTACATCAGAACTTCTTAATCTTACCTAACTACAATTAGCCTCTCCCCAACTCTCCCTCCTCTCTTACACCCATCAGCCTCTGATAACTACCCTTCTACTGTCAACTTCTTTTAGGTCAACTTTTTTATATTCCAAATATAAGTGCCAGCATGCAGAAGTCTTTCTGTGCCTAGCTTTTGTCACTTAAAAATGCTCTCTAGTTCTGTCAACATTCAAGGACATTCAAGGCCTAAACATGCTGCAAATGACAAGATTTCACCCTTTTTCTATGACTGAATAGTATTCTATTCTGTAACATACCCCACTTTCTTTATCCATTCATCTGTCGGTGGAAACATTTCTATTTCTTGGATATTGTAAATGGTGCCACAGTAAACATGGGAGTTCAGATATCTTTGATGCACTGATTTCATTTCCTTTGACTATACACTGCGCAGTGGGATTTTTGAATCAGATGATAGTTCCATTTAAATTTTTGAGGAATCTCCATACTAATTTTACATTCTCACCAAAAGTGTGTAAGGGTTCCTTTTCAGCATCTTCATCATCACTTATCATTCATTGTCTTTTTGATCGTAGCCATCCTTATCAGAACAAAGTGATATCTTGTGGTTTTGATTTGCATTTCTCTGATTAATGATGTTGAAATTTTTTCATATACTTGGCCACTTGTATGTTTTCTTTTGAGAAATATCTATTTAAGTCTAATGCTCATTTTTTGTTTATTTTTGCTATTGAATTTTTTGAGTTCTTTATATATTTGAATATATATTTGTCAAATGTATAGATATTTTCTTGCATTCTGTTGGTTGTCTCTTCATTCTGTTAATTGCTTCCTTTGCTATAGAGAAACTTGCTGGTTTGATGAAATCCTATTTTTCTATTTCTGCTTTTGTTTCTTGTGCTTTGGGGATATCATCCAAAAAACAAAAAAAAAATCCTTTACCAACCCAATGTCCTGAATCATTTCCTCTATGGTTTCTTCTAGCAGTTTCATACTTTCAGATTTATTTTTTAAATAAATTCCCAGAAACTCATGGTATAGGGATGCAATTGATAATCACATACAACTACTGTATGGTATTTAGGATATTTACGTTATTTAATGGCCTGGTGAAGAGTTCAGAAATTTAATAGAATTTAAATGAAATGGAATTCATTTCTAATTTTGCCGTTGTCGCAAACCAAGAACTGACCTAAGGAATGTAACAGTGCTGAAGTTCATACATGAGACAGTCCTACTAGAAGGAGACTTTAGAAAGTTTCTTCTTCATTATTGTTGTTGTTGTTGTTATTTGGTGTCAGGCATCATTTTATACTAATAGTACTATAACCAAGCTTCCTTGATTATAAAAGAAAGATTCATTCTGAAAGGATTACATTGCTGTTTTTATACTTCAAAATTATGTGAAAGCTATCTTTAAAATATTCAAAGAATATTTTACTTGTAAGTCTTAAAATTACATAATAAGTATTACTCATAGTCATAAGCATCAAATAGTCATAGCCCTATTCCTTAATGCTCTAAGGCCATGTTGACAAAATCAGAAGAAATAAATATGCCTTAGGGGGAAAAGTAATGGTTGAGTATGGAGAGCAGGGCAAACTGGGATGGGGAAGATACAGGTGGTGTTGGTTTCACTGATAAGCATTTACAATAATCTCACATCTTTCCTTATACAACAAACTTACCTTCAACTGTGTCCTTGCTTTTATCTAATTTAACACATTGCTTTATTCAACCCCAAACACTTGAAAGAAATGATTCAGTATATGTCATAAATTCACATCCAATGCAGCATTTTGCATACAGATTACAAATTTTCCTTTCAAACAATGATAGGCAGAAGGGACACAGCTTGAGTTTTCAGTTTGCAGGTTGAGCTTGCAGCAGGAGAGACAGAACAAACTTTGTACTTTGAAATAAATCTGACCTGCAAATAAAAAAATAAAATCGAAAGTTAATAAACCTACCCAAGACTAGCCTGCGGGAAAGCTGTGAAGTTTTACAGTTAAAGATTTGCATTCAGTTCAGACACCTCCTGCTCCATAACAGATTCTGCGCATAATCTTGTAAAGTATGTCTGATCCCTGATGCCATTTTTTATTTGCTTGATCTGATACCACTCTTTGAAGACTAGCCAATAACCCCTGCTAGCACCAATTTTCTAAGATCATCTTTCTTCATCACACACTCTGTCGACCCTATACACATTCTAAAAAAGGATTGGACATTGCAGTTCATTCTGGAATAGTGACTTTGACTCTAATATTTTCATTTTGTCAGAAGGGGAAGCAATCTCACATCAGGGTGATAGTGGAGGAATTGGCAAGAAGGACTCATCTTTGGCAATTCTCAATCACACATGGTGGTCAACTACTTCCCTTCCATAGAGGAGGCAAAGGAAAGGATAATATGGAATTAATTTTCTCAAGTTATTTTCTTAATGATCTTTCTGTTAAGGAGAAAACAATGCCAGCACTGAATGATCCTCATTGTTGATATACACAGCCCTGTGTCATCAAATAATTACGTTTCTTGCCTTTTTGCCCATGTTAACCTAGTAGGTCTATGACTAAATTGTTTATTATTATTTGATAGACAATATGATTCAGTAACAACGCAACAGCTTAGACAAAGCTCAAAACATTTTAGATCCTCTTGTTCTCTTAGTGTTCCACTGTGGCAAATTACCAAGTTTCTCCGAGTCTCAGATTACTCTTCTGTAAAATGAAAACTAAAAACTATATTTTTAGGAATCAAATGGAAGAATCAACATAAAAAGGCTTTGTGAAATAAAAAATTCCACATTGATAAATCACCAGTTATCCTGTTTCTATATCCAAAGGAAGTTAAATTTGTATCAACATATTCACTTCTTCTCAACCAGTCCTTCCTCTTGAGAACAATTTAGATCATTAATTGGTAAAATAGATGTCTTGAGTTAAGGGTATGGCAATACCTTTTTTTATACTATACCTTTTTTGGTATAGTATAAACCTACTATACCAAAAAATAAATGGATCCGTAATAGCTTTGGCTAGTAAGACCATACAAGGAAGCAAGTGGTCTGACTGCCCTCCCATTTACAGGTACACTTCATTTTATTACACTTCACTTTATCATGTTCAGAGATACTATTTTTACAAACTGGTTTGTGGCAATCTTACATGGAACAAGTTTATTGGTGCTATTTTTCCAACTGCATGTTCTCACTTTGTGTCTCTATCACATTTTAGTCATTCTCACAAGATTTAAAACTGTTTTACTATGAGTATATCTGTTATAGTAACCTGTGATCAGTGATCTGGTGTGTTACTATTCTAATTTCTTTAGGGTACTAGGCACTGAGCTTATATATGATGGTGAACTTAATAAGTGTGTATGTATTCGGACAACTCTACCAACCAGCTGTTTTTCCCCTCTTCTTGGACTTCTTTATTCCCTAAAACACAACAATAATGAAATTGGGCCAACTACTAATCCTACAATAGCCTCTATATGTTCAAGTAAAAGTGTCACATGTATCTCACTTTAAATCAAAAGTTGAAAATAGTTGAGCTTATTGGAAGGCAGGTCAAAAGCTGAGATAGCTGAAAAGGAAGCTTGTTGCATCAAATAATCAAAATATGAATGCGAAGGAAAAGTCCTTAAAGGAAATGAAGAACATACCACCTCAGTGAACACAAGAATTATAAGTGAACCAGATATACTGTTGCTATGGAGAAAGTTTTAGTGACTTGGGTGGGTCAAACCAGCCACCACATTCCCTTAAACCAAAGCCTTATCCAGAGTAAGGCCCTAGTACTCTTTAATGCTGAATGCTGAGGGAGGTAAAGAAGCTGCAGAATAAAAGTCTGAAGCTAGTAGATGTTGGTTCATGAGGTTTAAGGGAAAAAAGCCATCTCTGTGACATAAAAATGCAAGATAAGGCAGCAGTATCGATGTGCAAGCTGCAACAAGTTATCCAGAAGACCTAGCCAAGAGAATCGATGAAGGTGCCTACACTAAAGAGATTTTCTGTGTAGACTAAGCAGTCTCCTACTGGAAGAAGATGCCATCTAGGGCACTCAGAGAGAGCAGAAGTCAATGTGTAGCTTCAAAGGACAGCCTAACTTCTTGTTAGAGTCTAATGCAGCTAGTGAGTCTAAGTTGAAGCTACATGCACATTTACTGCTCCAAAAATCCTAGATCCCTTAAGATTTATAAATCTTCCTGTTCTCTATAAGTGAAACAACAGACCCTGGATGATAGGCCATCTTTCTATAATATAGTTTAGTGAATATTTTAAATTTACTGTTGAGACCTGCTGCTCGTGAGGGAAAAAATTTTCTTTCAAAATATTACTGGTCATTGACAATGCACTTGGTCTCTCAAAATATACTGAGATGAATGCTATTTTCATGCTTGTTAACACAAGATCCAGTCTTCAGCTGTTTTGATGTTCAAGTCTTATTATTTAAGGAATATGTTTTGAACAGCTTTATCTGCCTTAGATAAAGATTTCTCTAATGGGTCTGTGCAAAGCAAATTGAAAGCCCTCTGAAAAGGATTCACCATTCTAGATGCCATTAAAAGCATTCATGATTCACAGGAGATGTCAAGCTATAAACATTAATAAGAGTTTGGAAGATGGTGATTCCAATCATCACATATGACTTTGAGGAGTACAGGACATTAGTGGAGGAAGTGTCTACAGGTGATGGAAATACAAAGGGAACTAGAATTAAAGGTGAAGCCAGAAGATCCAACTAAATTGCTACAATCTCATGTAAAACTTAATGGATAAAGAGTTGCTTCTTTTGAATGTGCAAAGAAAATGACTTCTTGAGATGGAATGTACCCCTGGGAAAGATACTGTGAACACTGTTGAAATGACAACAAAGGATTTAGAATACTATATAAACTTAACTAACACAGCAGTGGCAGGGTTTGAGAGGATTGACATAAATTTTGAAAGATGCTCTACTGTGAGTAAAATGCTATCAAACTGCATTGAATGCTACAGAGGAATCTCATGAAATGAACAGCCAATGAATGAAGCAAACTTCACTGTTGTCTTATTTTAAGAAATTGCCAATATTTGACAATCACCATTCTGATCAGTCAGGAACCATCAAAATTAAGGCAACCTGCCACCAAGAAAAAGATTATGGGGCATTGTCACTTCTGATGGTTATTAACAATAAAATATTTTTAAATTAAGGTACTTACATTATTTTCTAGGCATAATGCTATTTCCCACTTAATAGACCACAGTACAGACATATACAATATATGCACTTGGGAACCAAAAATATTATTATTCTCTTTATTGTAATATTCACTTTATTGCAGGGTCTGGAACTGAACTCATAATAGACATGAGATATGCTTGTATAGTTCTAAGAAGAAGCAACTGGATTGTATGAACACTGAAGGGCTCACTAGTAAAATCTGCTTATGTCCAAACAGTTGATTCTCATTTGTGTAATGTCATTACATCACTAGCATCTAATAATGTATGAACTCAATGTTGTCAGGGTGAACAAAGATGTCTCACAGCTATGGACTGCCACAGAGCCAAGGTATAAAATGAACCTTTTTCTGGAATAAGTTCTGGTGATTCTAATACTGGAAAACTTTGCTTCAAGAGAAAAAATTTCAAAGGATATACAAGGCACTTGGCAAAAAGAGGATTGAATATACCACTGGAAAATTCAAAAGGGAGGATTTTGATTAATTGATAATTAATGAATAATAATCAATGAATAACAATATTATTATAATAATCAATGAATTATAGGGTATAGAATTCAAACTCTGCAGTAGGGATTGTATCCCACACAACTTACAACAGGATCTGTAGTTTAACATCATTAATAGGATAACCATAATTATGTGTACACATTACCCCAATCAAAGTGAACAAAGATGAAACGTTGCTGTGATTACGGTTAAATAGTTATGCCTGGCACTGACTGGATTCGGCCAAACTAAAATCCAATTTCCTACTCCAAAAGCAAGAACTGACATAAAACTTTCAAAGATAACCTTTTTACAGCACAATATGCTTTTAAACAGTGAAGGTCAAATTACACTTGCAGAAGTTCTAGTATGTCTTGTATTTGGTAAAATGGTTGGATCTTCTGTGAAAAAGGACTCTGCTTGTAGACTGTTCCAGCTCAGCACCACATTTTCCAACTTGCTTCATGAAATCTTGGATAAGCCAACTGATTTCCATGTAAAATGACAGTGTATAGCTTACGTGAATAGTTTCTTTCAGGCTACTTTAGAGATCTTTTAAGGTCTCTACTAAGTAGTGTGTGGACTACTTGGACTGTCCCGCCTACAATGGATGTTCTCTTAGGCAAGAACGTACTTTCGGGCTTCTGTGATCATACACACCCAGACGCCCCTCCACAGCATAAACTGAGTCCTTATTAGGTATCCACTAATCACTATGTCCTATGCTTCCTGGGGGTTATTTTACAGACTTTTAGCCCTGAGGCCTCTAAGAGTTACTGCAAAGTTAACTAAGTGCAAACTTATCTCTATGAGAAAGAGGCAGAGGAGAAAAAAAGCTAAGATATTGGAACGCCAGCTTTAGTAACACATGTAGTTTTTCTCTCATCTTAAAATATTTACTTACATTTCCCTTGAAAGTTTTAAACTTGTTGAGGGAAATAGGCTTCATTCGTACCTCACTAGTAGTTGGTTCCTGAGAGCAACAGAATAGATAGCTTTGGAGAACTCTTTCCTGCCTTATAATTAAAGCTACAAACCTTTCAAAGCCATCTCGCTCTTCAAAGGGTGCTCCGCCTTTCTAGAGGGGAGGTTCCGCCCATATCTGACTACTGCCCCGCTTCCTTCGGTATTCCAGCCAATCCCGTATTCTGTAAAATGGTGGGCATGGAGCTATCGCGAGACTTTCACGCTATCCTTCGAGAATTTTAACAGTGATTTTGCGCAGAAGAGACTCCTGAAGCCAGTGCAGGGGAAAGGGGGCGGGGATCTCCGACGTGCGCATTCACTTTGACCTCACGTTCCAGCGCGCACCCGGTGTCTGGGCGCTGTGGTTTCTGGGTCCCCGGGGAAGCCCAACAAAACCTAGCGTCCAGCGCGGAACGCTCGCGCCCACCCCAGGTTGATGTTCTGTGGGTGGCGAATGCCTGCCTGACTTCTGCAGAGATTTAGAGGGGCCCAGCCTGGCGCAAAGCGATTCGAGAGGTTTGGAGAATCAGCCTAAGTGGGTGCTTGGTGATGGAGGGTCAGGGGTCAGAGGCTGGGAGGGAAGGTAATCTCTGGCCTCCCCTTGTTGCCGAGGGAGGACTTGAGTTGTCTCGAGCCCCGGGGAGCTCGGGGCTGAGAGGAGGCAGCAGCGCCGGTCTCCTCGACCCCGACCCCATCCCAGACTTGCGGCCTGTGGACCGCCACGGCTTCCGGGGAGCAGTTGGGGACTCCCAAGGATTGGGGCCTGCAGTGTGTAATTCAGCGGCCCGCGGGCCTGTCGCCGGGGTCCTTGGCTTCTCCGAAGCCTGTTTGCCCGTCGCTGACAGCCCCGCTCTCATTCTCGGAGCCGCTTTTGGGTCTTTTCGGAAGATAACTAGGTGGTTAGTACCTGGCGTAGATTGTCCTGGAAAGTTGGAACCCGGCAGCCTCCTCGCTTCCTAGAGCGCAAGGTTGTATGGAGTTCAAAGCGGAGGCAGAGACTTCAAGTCTATTTGAGTGAAAGTTCTCAGCTTTGCGGTCTGATTAATTACATTCTCAGTCAGAACCACTCGCGCATGTGCATTTGACTGTGGGGTAGTGCTAGGTTAGAAACCTGAACAAAGGTGTGAGTTCATCTGATGATTGACGGTCTCTGTCAGATTTAGAGAATTATTAAATAATGACCATTAAACTTGTGCGTTTTTCTAGTCAGCTTGACACTAGCACGAAGTAGCAACTCCTAGATATTTGATGTTTCCCTACTTGTACTTAACATGAGACTTTCACATAATTTAATATAATTTAAAAGTTATTACTGCTGTTTTCAATTTTCCCAGTGGGGGATAACAAGAATAATGAAATGATCATCGTTCTTTGAATATGATCCGTAATGTTTCTGCGCCACCGGAAAGACTGCTTAGTTTATGATCAGTAACCGTGACGCAACCTGAGCAGTGGTTGTTGAGCAGTATTGGGATAATTCTATGCTGGATAACCTGTGTTTCCTACAACTTTGAAGACAAATTAAATAAGCAGTTGAGAATGTAATAGGTAATTTCTGAAATATGCTATTCATATCTTCTTTGCCTAGCCTAAAAGAAATAAAGATATGGACTTATCAAAACAAATCTTTTATTAAGAGTTGTGGGAAACAGAATCTGATGAAAAAGTTTCTTAGGGCATTTTTCAAATTTATATAACTAACATATATTTTAGAATTAAATAGCAGAAAACATTCACTTTGCTGGAGTTATCACCAGAGAAAAGGAAATCCACTCTGGGAGGCTGAGGCAGGGTGATAGCAAGTCAAGCCCATTCTGACCAAAAGCAACTTAACAAGTACCTGTCTCAAAATAAAAAATATAAAAAGGGATGGGGATGTACATCATTAGGAAGGCATGGGTTCAGTCCCCAGTAGGGCAGGGGAAAAGGTATAAAAGAAAAAACTTGGTAATGCTGGGTAATAAGAGCTTTTCAGTCCTCGTAATGATTAGACTTTGCTTACATCAGCCAACACTTTCGACCGCAACATGGCAAATGTATATACTCCTTATTGTTCGTGATAGGCTGAGCCCCGTTTTGTCATTCATTTGTTGGGATTCAGGACTTTGCGTATCTTTTAATGAAGATATAGTAAGTTTGGAGAGGAAACTGAATTACAGTTTGACACTCATTTGTTGAATTCCATTAATAACGTGTTATGTTTACTTTTTAACTATTCATGTTTGTCTTCTGTTAAAGATGAAATTTGGGGGCCAGGGATTTGGCTCAGTGGTTCCGCCGCCTGCCTCGCAAGCGCAAAGTCCCAAGTTCGATCCCCTGTACCAAAAAATAAAAAAATACAAATGAAATTTGGTCAGGTGGGGTTTTTGTTGGGTTTTTTTTGTTTCTTTGCCACATTCTGGGCCAGGAATAGTAAAGAATAGTTTCCTATTTGCAGTGATGGTGAACCTTTTAGAACTTGCAGTGATACAAACAGCCTGTTGCGGCACAAATGCCATAGATTCTCCACCGCTGATCCATAGTCTTGTAGAATGTAGATAAGAGACTTCTCCAAAAAGAAATTTTAGTAAAATCCTGTTAGCTCCTTGAAGTAAGGGAAGCTATTCTGGGAGTTAAGAGATCGTTGTTTGACCTTATTTTGTATGCCATTTGTATCCTGGCATTGACCTGGCTTTGAGGGTACAATACTGAGTAGGATATACTGTCGAAGTTGGGGTCAGAGAGGAGAGGCCTTTAACTCAGCTCCCTGTTCAGGTAAGACTTTCCAGAAAAGATCAGGAACGCAACTGGCAGAAAAGTGTGAAAAGGCATTTATAGCAGAAGACTTTTTGCTTTTAAGTTGGGGTCCGTATAGAAAATTTTACATAATCACATTTTGCCCAAACTCTGATATTTAAGGAGGAGGAAAAAGCAGAACCACCAGAGGTGTGATTCAAAGACAAATGGAAAAGCATATGGGGTAGAGATACAGATTTAGAGAATTTTACCACTGTTAACTGCCAGTTACCATTTTGATCCTGTCTTCAGCCAACTAATACATTCCTTGGTTTAAGAAGTTATCCCTGGATAGAGATCCCTTAAGGAAAGAGTCAACCAGATTTTTAAAAAAATAATAAATGTTGCTCAATTGAGAACTGGACAAAGGGAGAACTTTGCTGTAAATCCTAGTATTTACTTTTCTCTAACTTATCATCATCATTGATAAACACCTTGAAACTCATAATACCAGAAAAGTCTGCTTGAAAGCAAACATTTGAAAGAATGAGCAAATTATAGTGGCATACATAATTTAAAAGACACCGGAGAACAAAATAGTTAAAGGAATATGTCATGTGATAATAACATCTCTGTTACAGTTTTATTGTAAGAAATATTGTATTCTGTGCATGTTCCATTGGCTAGAAATAGTCTGGGGATATACTGAGCTGGTCTGCCATTTCCAAATTAATCTATACTTTGGAAGGAAAGAAATGGATTTTAGTAGGCAACTATCCATAATATGGTTTCTTTTGGCTGCACAATGGAATATTTTACGAAGTCTAAAAAATAATGAGGATAATGCCCACGATCCTCAGATATTCTGATTTAATTGGCTAGGGTGCCACTTGGGCATCGGGATTTTTTTTGTTTTTTTGGTACCAGGGATTGAACTCGGGTCCTTGCGCTTGCAGGGCAGGTAGCGGAAGGGCATCAGGATTTTTAGAAGTTTTCTTCTAAAGGCTTGCTAAGTTTAAGAAGCACTGATCTTAAGAATTAAGCACATTAGAGTTTGGTTATTGTGAAGTGTAATCTAGAGTATTTTCAGAATGATAGTCACTGCTACTTAATGGATATGTACTTCTGGTACTAGCCTATCATACTTCAGTTATTTCTGACCACTCTGCTGCTGTCTTCCTCATTTTAGAAATGAAAAAAACTGCCACAGAAAAATTAGATACTATAACTATTTCACTATCATTGTTAATAAATGCAAAAGCTGAAATGACAATGCAAGACTTAAAAGCCCACACTCTCTACTATAAACCTCATTGCTTTGCAGGTGTGAAACTGCAGCCAGTTGTTTTTGAGCTTTCAGTATTGTGGCTGGTGTGATTCTGTAACTGGCCCAGATCCCTTCACACACATGTACAACCTCCAGCCCACATCTGTGCGCTTTGCCATGTGTAGTTTACCCTGGAAAGGAGTGTAGTGTATTTCCTTACCTCCTGATTTGGGGTCCATCGATGAGACTTGTTGGCAGACCCTATTTCCTGGTGTAACTTGAGTGATTTTGATACAACAAGCACTTTGAATAGTACTTATGTGATTAGATTTGCAATTTTATACCACAGCCATTGCCATAAGCACGTTCTGGGATGTTTCTTTGGTTCCAGGAAGATAAGAGTTACAGTAAGCAGGAACAACCTGCTCCTTTAGAACCAGCCTGTCTTAGCTGCCCTTTGGTAACCTGCAGATTTGTGAGAAGAAAAATAACATGTTTGCTTTCTCAAAGCATCGAGCTTTGTGGTTGTGTGTTATACAGCATGTTTGTGGCACTAATTAACTGATAAGCTGATATAACCTAACTTCTTAAAAGTTCCAGCAGAACTTAATTCCAATTCTAGTATTTGAATGTGTGCTCTGAGGATAACTGAACAAATATTAACACTTAGAAAAGTTAGGGCTTTCAATGTGTTACTTCTCTGAGATAAAATTAGAGAGGATAAAGTGCATACAAAGTAGTTAACCATTGCAGAGACTGATTATAATCCTTCACCTGCATATTTATAAAATGAGTACTGGCTAGGGGACTAAAACACTCATGACTGACTGAGACCATCATAAACTTTTGCAGTTATGAGGTGAGTATTCTCTATATGGACTGTCTAGTAGAGCAGACACTATCACCAATGGCTACTGAGCCCTTGAAGTGGAGCTGGTGAGACTGAGGAGCTGAATTTCTAGTAACATTTAATTTTATTGTGTAGCTTCTGGCTTCCTTTGGACTTGCTTTGACCCATAGTAGACAAAACTACTTCCTTGGGTTGCTGTGGACACTGTATTCCTTTGAAGAACGGGGCCACCAGCCACCATGTTCCTAAGTAAAAGACATGCTCTGTCAGCAAGGAAGGTGTAGATCCTAGGAAGGTAAGTAATATTATTTCAGGTTTTTTTGCAGTATTGGTTTATTAAGATTTCCTATTTCTTGGACCAAGTTTTTTCATGTTTAGTATGTTAGGAAATTGGTTCACATAGTTTTTTAAATTTAGTAAAATAAAACCATTCTTAATATCCTCTTGTACTTGTTATTGTTAAATCCCTCGTGCATCTACTGTTTTTGCTTTTTAAATCAACTGCATTAAGGCATAATTTATATATAGTGAAATTTAGTGTTAAGTGTACAAACTGATGAGTTCTGACAAGCGTCTGATACACAATCATGTAAGCATTGACATAGGCTATTTTTGTTGTCACAAAATCTTTACTCCTGCTTCTGTGCTATCAGTCACCTCCTCCCATGATGTGCTTTCTACCGCTTAGGTTTTTGCTTTTTCTGGATTTTCATGTTAATGGAATTATACTGGATGTAGTCTTTGATGTCTAGCCTTTCTTCACTTTTCACAGTGCTTTAAAAATTCACCCTGTAATGTTGTGTGCATCAGTAGTTTGTTTCTTTTTATCATGGGATACTGTTCCCATTGTATGAATATGATACAATTTGCTTATCTTTTCACCATTTGATAAACAGTTGCTCCTAGTTTTCAGCTCATTTAATTTTTTTGGAAACTGACAAACTTCCAGAGCAACTCAGCTGTGTTGGAATGTTTGCGAGTTCAGTTCTGGTTGCTACGCACCCACAATCTTTTAAATTGTAACTATTCTAGTGCATAAATTGAGGTATCTTGTTGTGATTTGTGGGTTGCTTCATGTTGCCTTACTGATAATGCTGAAGATACTTTTATGTGCTTATTTGCTACGTATAAATCATTTTTGCTAAAGTGTTCAAACTTGCCCATTTTTAAAATAAGGTCATCTTACTGTTGATTCATGTATTTTACAATATGTGTTTTACAATAAAGTCCACAGAAATAACTGTTTCTAATATTATTTCTTCTCATCTGTGGCTTGCCTTATTTCCATAACAGTATCTTATGAGAAGCCAAATTATTTAATTGTAGTGAAATTTATTATTTTCTTATATTACATTATTATCTTACAGTCTGTTTTTGTGTCCTGTTTAAAATTTTTTGTCTTTTTTTTTTTTGGCCTAATGAACATGACTTAAATTTTTATTTTTTTCCTGGAAGTTTTATAGTTTTAGCATTATATTTTAGTTTATAACCTATTTTAAGTTAATTCTTACATGTTTTGAGATAAAGGCCAAGGTTCTTTTTAATTTTTTGTATATGACTACCACTTATAGACAGGGATATAGGTTCCCCATCGGCTGCCTTTGACCTTCCTTTTAAATCAGTTGACTATACCTGTGTGGCTTTGTTATCATTTTATTTTGTTCCATTGATCTGTATGCCTGTGTTTACACTGTTTTCACAGTGTTCTGATTACTGATGACGTAAACCTTGAAATCAGTGTAATTCATTCAACTTTACTCTTTCCCAAAATTTTCTTTGACTCTTCTAGATTCCAGCCATTTCAGTGTAAATTGTAGAACCAAGGAAACTTGTTGACATTTTGAATGTGATTACTTTGACTTAATAGATTGATACTGAAGAACTGATATCTTGATATTTTGAGTGAACACTATGAACATAGCACAATACACAATATAGCTCAGTGATTATACTACTATACTATTTCTTGTGTTCATATTTGCTTGAAAGTTTTTAGAATAAAATTCAAGATTATGTTTAATAAAATTTTGTTTAAATTCAATAAAAATTTTAAAAGTCAATTTAAATACAAGAAAAATCGGTGATATTTACACACATTTTTTATTTATGCTTTTTATTCTTAAGATGCAGATTTCCATCTACTCTCATACTCATTCTGAGAACTTCTTATAACATTGCTTATAGTATAGCCTGCAGCTGTAAATTCTTTTGGCTTTTGTCTTGTTTTTCATCTTCATTCTGGTGAGATATTTTGCTGGACTTAGCATTCTAGACTAAGAGAAATGCATAGGCCAGAGAGCTAAGGCTAATCCGAAGGGAGATTATTGCTTTTGAGTAATTGAATTATGCTGTAACTTGCTGCAGGGTCCTTATGTTTGCCTTGATTGGGTTTCACTGAGCTTCTGGGTTTTCCAGATTGATAGTTGCTATTGAATTTGGAAATTTTTCATGCCTGATTTATTTTTTTCAAATATTATTTCTTACCCTCTCCCCCTTTTCCTGCTAAGATTCCAATTTCATGCATGTTAGACTGCTTAACATTTTCCAGTATGTCTCTGATGTTCTGTCTGTTGTTTTTCCTGTTATGTTAGCCTGAGTCTTTTGAAAAATTTTTCTTGTCATGGTTCTTTCCTCTCCACACCCCTCCCAACCCCCCATGTCTGGTGATTTTTCTGTTTGTTGCCAGACCATTGGCCTCTTGAGTTCCTCCCTTCCCCTTCTGCTCCCAAAAACTCTCTTTGAGATGAGCTGTGAGAAGCGCCACCAGCCATCCTGGTTCACCTGGACTGCGAGCTTTCCCAGAATTCAACACTTTTCAGCACTTAAATGAGAAAAGTCCTGGGCAAAACAGGAAGAGTTTGTTGAGCCCATAGTAGAATTCCTTCATTTGTTTGACTTCTCTCAGGGGTTAACAGTTGCTCTGTAGTTACACCTATTCTGCTATTGAATAGTGGCCTACTATTTTCTCTTTCACATTTCAGTAATATAGTTTGGTTTTCTAAAACTGCTCAACATCCTAAGCAGGAGTCATTAGTTCCTGCTTCTGTGTGGTGAAAACAGTATGTTATCTCCCTAAGGATGTGATGATTTTAATAGATAGGAGTGGGAGTTGGTAAGGGCAGGGAAGTATAGTCAGACTCCTCTGCCTCCTCAGTTTGTTACCGAGAAACCAAAACTCAGTTGCTTACCTGTTTTGTATTACAGTCCATGATTTGATTTATACTTATTCTGTATCCTCCCCTAAAATACGAAACGGTGCTGACTACTTAGTGTAGACTCAGCAAATACCTGATTGGATTTTATTTAAAAATAGAGTTATTCAGAATATTTCTTAAAGCACTTGAAGCCAAATTTTATTTTTTACCCTTTTGCCTTGCAGGCTACTAGGCTGAAATAGATACCAACCACCATGAAGACTTCCTTATTTAATTCCTATGAGTTTGTATTTCATGAGGGAATGGCATAGTTTAGAGCTACATTCAGACCTGTTTCCTCTTTTGAGATGGCCAAGCTCTCTTTTCTTTAAACCTTTTTCTTTTATTCTTTCACTCCCCTTCTTCCCCCTCATTGCCATCAATACTTTATTTCTTGCCCAGCTGTCTCTCTTATTCTTTTTATCTGATCCATAAAAAGAAATATATATCTGTATTTTCATTTTCCCCCTTGAAAAAAAAAGATTTTTAGGTGTTTATAAGCTATGTAATACTTAAGTGACTTTTTTTTTTAGTGCTTTGGGATTATAAAACAAAACTGAAATTCTGTAGCAACTATATGAGTTTAAATATTACTAACATTCCAATAATCATTTCCATGCTATATGAGAATTTTACCTTCTTATCGTATTGCTTATCAAATATATTTTAAGAATTTACTTTATACAAAAGATCATCTTAGATTTATCCACTAGAAACCAGTAAAATCATTAGAATTTGTTACGTGAGATTATGTGTTCCTTAGGCGTATCTAATTTAATACAAAAATTACCCACTGCTTTTTTGTTTTTGGTACCAAGGATCAAACTCGGGTTACCCACTGCTTTTTATGAATTCCTCCAAGGATTTTTGTATTGTGTGTATAGACTATGACTTTTTGATGAATTTCTCATCTAGAAGTTTTTACATACTGAAATCTTCACTTGGTGTGCCTACTCTTTCATTTGTCTTTTAGAATTCACATCTGTCATACAAGAAAACGTGAAAATGAGCAGCCGACGGAAACGGGCCCCTCCAGTGAAGGTAGATGAGGAAAAGCAGCAGCAGCTCCGTTGGAACATGCACGAGGACCGGAGGAACGAGCCTCTTGCCTTGACTGATGATGAGCAGCCCTGCACAGGTGCTGACTGCTCTCCTCAGTGCGTCCAGGAGGACGATAGTCTGCAGGACGAAGTGGCTCACAGAGATAAGAAGAGGTGCTCTGAGGCTGTGAGCTTCTCAACAGCAACCAAGAAAGAAGAGACTGTTGGTGATTTTCTCTCTTTGTCTGTAAAGTTGAACATTGTGATTTTTCCCTGTCACTCTGATAGTTCTTGGAAAGCATTTCTGGGAGAACTAATTCTTCAGCTTCTTCCTGAGCAGAGTTTAGATGATAATTTTTCTGAGAAGAGTTTTACCTTGATGAGTTCAGAGTCAAGCAATCAGTTCCTGATATATGTTCATTCTGAATGTGAGGATGTGGAGAAACAAGAAAAGGGACTGAAAGAATCAGTCAACATTTGTGACAAGGGCATTCGAGTGGAATCATCTTTCAGTGGTGAAATGCTAGAAGACTTGGGGTGGCTGCAAAAGAAGAAAAGAATAAAACTTTACCAAAGACCAGAAGGAAGGCACGTTATCAAGGTACTCAGTTTCTGCACTCTTGTAGGGTTCTGCTGTATTGGCAGCTCACTTTGAAGTTAACTTGGAAGACCTGAAAAGCCAGTGACTTGTTTTGGTCCTCATCATCTCTTTCCTCTTACTGTAACAATCATGTTCTATTTCCTGGTTTGCCTTTTCCAGGGCTTCATCTACTAGAGTTCTAGAACAGTAGCATATGAATACGATTCTTTCCTGACTACAGAACTAAGGATAAGCTTTCTAATCCAGCACACAAGTCACTCTTTTGATAGGTCCTTAAGCCTCATCCTTTTGATTTTGTTCCAGAAACTATAGTTGATGTTTCTTACAGACACCCTGCTGTCATTCTACATATTTGCACTTGCTCTCACAGTTCCCTCTGCCTGGATTATTGCCTGGAAACTCTTGTGCATTCTTTAATGTTCCATTCAGAGCTTACTTCATGCATGGAGTTCTTTTCTTAAGTCTTATGGGTGGTGGTAGGTGCCCTTTCTCCAGAATACCTATTACCTAATGGATATTTTGATTTTTGCTTTTGCCACTTGTAGTTCATTTTAGATATTTCAACCTTGCTAGAATATGAAATCTTTTATATTCATAGCCCAGTAAATTGCCTGATATATGAATAGATTTTCAGTAAGTGAATAGATAAATCACTTTAGGCTTTGCCATCTTTAGCTACTAGCCATATAATTTTATCCAGATCATTTAAATGCTCTAATTTCAGCTTTTTTTTTCTGTATGAACGGTAAATAATACCCATTCTTTTTTCTGTATGGAATTTGTTAAAAATCAGGTGAGGTAATGTAAATAAATGTACTTCATAAAGCTTAAGGTGCTTTCATGATAAAACTTTAAAGAAAAGTATTTCAAATTGTTAATTTGTCTTTGTTTAAATGAAAATTGTTTCTTATATATTTCTCACATTAAAAATAATTGCATCAGTAGTCCTATATTTTGAGAATTGAGTGAGGAAAGGAGAAAATTTAGAACCATTAGAATGCCATTAATTCTTCCCTGGGCAGTGAATCAACATGGCCAAGCAATTCCCTGTCTTCTCTGATTGTGAATGCCAAAATTGTGGCACAGTGGTACCAAGTATGTAAGAATTCATGGCTTCTGTGTCTGTGTTCTATCCGTTTCCAAAACCCTGCAAGCCAAGTCTTGATGTATTCCATTTTTTCTGATCTTGATTTTTATAAATATTTAAACATTTATTGCTGCATAGTAAACTATCCCTGAGTAAACACAAGGCAAGTACAAATAATAAAATACAAATTTTGTCACTCATATCTTTGTAATGCTGGTGGATTCTTGTTCTTTACTGCAAGAATATGAGAATCTCAGTGATTAGGGAGTCAGGCCCAGAAAGTCTGCAAGGTGCTGTGAACTTGTGAGGCAGCCAGTAAGAAACAGATTTGTCCTCGCATGGTGGCGATCACCTGCAATCCCAGTACTCAGGAGGCTGAGGCAGGAGGATCACCGCAAGTTTGAGGCCAGCCTGGGTTACACAGTGAATTAAAGAAATGGAGATTTGGCCTGTGCTTTGCTTCCAGGCTTGGGCCCTGGACACCTTGTTGGGCCTGGGGCCATCAGGATGCCTGCACCCCTCTGGCTCTTCCTCTTGGTCTCTGGCCCCTGGTCTCCTTGGAGCCCCTAATCCCAGGATGTCCTCACTGTCAGCACACCCCTGGCCACTCCTGACAGGGGCCAGTGGGCGCCAGGGGACATCGGGAGGGATTGGGGCTGGGGAAGATGCTGAGTGCCATGCACGCCGGGCCCTGGGACAAAGCTCCATGGAAACCTCAATCATGGGTCCAGAGATATGGGGCAGCACTAGGGCGCCCTGTACCCCTTCCCACTCTGGGCTTCGCTCCTCTTTGGCTGTCCATGGTAGTTGTCATTTCCTTGACAATAAACCAGGGTCTTCAAGGAAGGCACCTTCCTGCGAGCTGTGGGCTGGCTGCTCCCCAAATGGCTGGGCCCCATCAGTGGGGCATGGACACCCCCAACCAAAGTTGGTAATCAGAGGTTCCTGAGCCAGGCGTGGTGGTGCACACCTGTCATCCCAGCACTTGGGAGGCTGAGGCAGGAGGATCACCATTCCAGGACAGCCGGGGCTACAAAGAGAGGAAATGAAAAAAACTACTATTTACTGTCCACTGTTAGAAACTTTTAAAATTATATTACGTAGGGTGAATGGGGATATGTGGATTAAAATAAAAGTTATATTTCCGAGTTAATTTAATTCCTAAATATCAGTGCCAGTATTCTTTCAGTTGCAAAATTTCATACTGCATTGTTTCACTAGAGTCACAATACTACACATTAATCAAGGTCTGTTTTCCTACATATTTTAGTTTTTGACCCAGTAATAAAGATTCCCAAATCTAACTGTGTGTAAGAATCCTAGCATATGCATTGGAATCTTCCAGGGAAGTCTGCATTTTTAACAAACTTAATTAATCATTTCATGCTCATCAGATTCAGGAATCAGTGATTTCACTGGATAGAATTGGTGTTCTTTCATTTCCTAACTGGAACTGAACTTGGTTTGGTTCCAGTTAGTGATGTATTTTTTTCCAGTAACTTGAATGGTACATCACACATAGTAGGTACTTATATTTGTGGAATGAATTTTCTATTGAAAGTGAAAATGTATGAGGAGATCTCGTAGGTATGTATCTAGTTTATGGGTACAAATACTGTAAAATAGTGTCAATAAACAATGTTTTTTTCTTATGTTCTCATTAAGAATAGTATATTTCAAGTAAAATTACCTTTATGTTGATAATTCTTTGTAGGTTGGAATTTATGTTCTGGAAGATGGCCTAGCAAAACTGGACTCTTTCAGTGATGCAAGTTCAAGAATGAAAAAGTTCAATCAACTCATGAAGAAGGTGATGGAAAAGTTATATAATTTTATTATTCCAGGTAATTTTTAAAGTACACTTTAAAATTTCTGTTACTTTAGAGTTGGGGATTTATCCTTCAACACCTACACATAGCAACAAGAAAAACAGATAATAAGAATGATAAAACTTAAATGACTTACATAAAATGATTGTATGTATGGCAGAGTTTTACTGATCTGAAATGTTCTCATTGATATATTTCTTTACTGTATTTGCTTAACTGGGCTTAACTGATAGTAAGCATTCAAGAAGGATTTGCAGTCAGTGAGGAAGTCAAAAGGCAGAGTCTGAATGGGGCTGAGCTGGTGGGATTTTTTTGTTTTTCCTGTGCAGAATTTTGTCACGCCAAAGACCCTGGAGTGGCCTTTGTCCCACCTCTCCATTGCAGTCTGATCTCAGCAGCCTTACTCCACGAAAACCAAGTGACTGTGTTCTGTTTCTTGGCAAGAGGTTGCATCCTTGGTCAAGACTGCAGTTTCAGAGTTGTCTGCCGCTGGCGGCCAAGGGACAGTGCAGGTGACCCCTTGACAGGCAGCTCAAATTGCAAATTATACTTGGGGCATTAACAGGTCAGCATTATTTCAGGTGTATAATATAGGTCATTTTTGTACTGCAGTATTTTATAAATCAGTTTCTAGACACTACCCATTGAGTTTATTCTGTAGTACTTTTTTTCAAAGCTTCATATTCCTAATAATAGTGAATTATTTTTCAAGTTAAAAAGAAAAATCTTTGATTTCAAAATTAATAAGAATGCTTTCAAGTACATCTAGAGTTTCTAAAATTTGTAAGAATTCCATTATTTTGCCTTTTCAAAATAACATAATTTGAATTCTTAAAAACATTTCTAAGAAAAATTTCAGAGTTACATATTACTAGATTACATAGCTTATAATGACATGAATAATTGTACATTAATGATATATTATGAAGAAATACATATTAATTGTAAATCTTTGAAAATCCTACATGGCATTTTTTTAATTGACTAAAGGAATAAGTTGTGTGTTTTTTCTTTGATCTCTCAGTTCTAGAACATACTAAACATGTCCTATACAATTCTGAAAGCAATTCAGAAAGTAGTGATATACTTCTTCAACATGAAGAATGATGCTTTTAATGAGAAATCACCTCATTTGTTCAGGGTTTTCATTTTTATTTTTTTCGTGTACTCATGAAAAGGGCAGTTGTGCTACCAAATGGATCTGATATTCTTTCATGTTTACATTAATAGTTTAAGCACTTGAAGCCAGGCATGTGGGGCACGCCTGTAATCCCAGCGCTGGGAAGGCTGGGACAGGAGGAATGCTTGAGTTCAAGGCCAGCCTGGGCTACACAGTGAATTCAAGGCCAGCCTGAACCATATAACAAGACCCTGTCTCAAAACAAAAAAAGCTTAAGCACTCGATTCCTAATTAGTTTCTCTTGCTGCCAATACCTTGTCCTGTATTTTAGAGGAAGAAATATAATGGGAATCTTTGTCTTAATAGACATAAAAAAATTATAAATGCATATGGACTTTCTACATTCAGATATAAACATAAAATAAGTGCTTTATAAAGTGGAAAAGGTATTCTCATTCAGTTTCTCAGATAGTTATTAAATACCAACAGTGTCACTGTCTCTGAGTCTCTAACAACAGAAAACTGCCTTTGCTCTCAATGGGGAAGGGACAGGTCATATGAATGACTCTAATACCAGATAGATTTCAGTGTTCTGTCATATCCAGAGTATAAGAGTATTGTGTAAACGTGGAAGAAAAACTTAATTCCAGCCAAGGAGGGCCAAAGAAAATGACATAAAAAGAGTCAACTGGAAGGAGGTCATAAATTTGTTGAGGGTTTTCATTTGTATTTTTTCATGTAAGCATAAGTCTTCCAGAGGGCAGTTGTGCCCACCATTTGAACTGTCTTGAAGAATGGATGGGGAGATTTTTGATCAGTGAAGATTTTGATACGCAAAACACGTTGAGCAAGACCTGCAGATTTGGGTGGGGGGAATGCGCCTTTACAGAGTAAGAATTGCTTGTGATTTTAAAAGGTGGATCAGGCTGTAAATCCACTGCTGTTGGCCATACAGATGTATTGGGAGATGATGAGGAAGACTCAGATAGTGAGCCGGAGGGACAGGACATTGATGAGCTCTATCACTTTGTGAAGCAAACACATCAGCAGGAAACACAGTCTGTCCCCGTGGATGTGCAGCATCCTGCGCTGATGCCCGTGCTGAGACCCTACCAGAGAGAGGCTGTCAACTGGATGCTACAGCAAGAGCATTTCAGAAGCGCTCCTACTGATGGCAAGTATAAGATGTTTAAAGATTATACATGAGCGATGGAGTGAGGAGGAAAATAACCATTTTAAAAAGCATATTAAAAAGATAGGCTAGGATGGGTATTACTATGAACAAATGTATTTTTCTTCTCTTTTTTTGCAGTACTGGGTACTGAATCCAGGGCCTTACATGTACTAGGCAAGTGCTTTGCCACTGATCTGTACTGTCAACCCTGAATAAAAGTATTTTCTAAGAACTCCTTCAAAATTGAAATCTAGAAAAATCAATTAATGACTTATCTCATTCATAAAAGTTTGGGCTGGCTTTTTCTTCCAAAATAAATGCAGCTTTGAATTTTTGAAAACCATGATATTTGTTGATGTGACTTACAACTAAGAATTATTTTCAGAACTCAAGTAAATGAGAATCTTTGTAGTCATTGGCAGAAAACACTGCACAATTTCATTATTAATTTAACAATACAAAATTTATAAAAGAAGGAGACTTACTTCCTGGATTTACATTTTTTGTTGCTCCACAAAATAAATAGTAATTAAATGTCATCTAGTCAGTAATTTTATGAAAGTTTTAGATTTATGAGTCACCTTTCTTTCTTTTTCGTTTTCTGTTTTTGTGGGGTGTTGGTTGGTTGGTTTGTTTGGGAGATTTTTTGAGATAGGGTCTCACTATGTAGTTCAGGCTGGCCTTGAACTCACTTGGTAGTCCAGGTTGGCCTCAAACTCACAGAGATCCTCCAGCCTCAGCTTCCTGAGTGCTGGCATAGGTGTGCGCCACTACACCTGGCAGTCATTTCTTTAAAGGGATAGACACAGGTGACATTTTTTACATGACTCTAGGAAGTTAAAGTGTTCACTATTTTTCAGTTCTCTTGTATAGAATTATTTTGGTCAGTAACAAATAGCTATTGCTTATTTCTCCCAAGTTTTCCAGTTTATATGTTTTTATCCAACAAATTTCATTTTTTTAAACTCTTCATTTTGGACAGTAAATGTCAGTTCCTAGCCAATATTATTTCTTTTTACTCCTCCTAACCCCATACTCTGACTTATTTTGAAGTAAATCCTATACACATTAATATTTCAGTTTATTTCTTGAAAGATAAGAGTTCTTTTAAATAAGGGATATGTGTGTGTGTGTGTGTGTGTGTGTGTGTATATATCAGATTTTTAAAGCCCAAACATATTGTTGAGTATCAACAAATCTGTCTCCTTCCAAACTCCATTCATTCCCTTCTTCAGTTTTTCCCTCCCTCTCTTCTCTGCCCTCTCTCCTCCCTCCCTTTCTCTTTCTCTCACTCTCACATACACACACACACACACACACACACACACACACACACACACACACACACAGATCTAATCTGAAACCAGAGAACAATCAGACAGAGTTGGTTGCTGTTGGTTGTTTCATAACCCATAAGTTTTATCTCCCATCTCTCACTCTATTTTCCCTTTTAGTTATTTGTTAAATTCCTGGTTCTATGAAGTTTCTCACAGACCATATTATTTTTCTCTGAAATAAAGTATTTTTCTTCAGTTAAATAATTTTATAAAAAGTTAACAGTAAAAGGCACTGACCTGATCTTAAGGCCACAGATTAAACCCATCTATACACTTGTGTGGCCAACAACCTAATGAAGATAGAGAGCTAGACTGCATCCAAAGTTGCCAGTAGCCACGTATGACTCCTGAGTGTTGAAATATGACTGTCCAAATTGAGATTTACTATGAGTTTAAAATACACATCAGATTTCAAATAATATCCCAAAAAAGAAAGAATGTAAAATATCTTAACAATTTTATATTGATTACATATTGAAACAGTATTTTGTTCATACTGGGATAAGTAACATATCCTTACAAAATTAATTTCACCTGATTCTTATTTGTATTACTATAACTATAAATTAAAAGTTAAATACACATATGTGCCTCCCATTATATTTCTATCAGATACTGCTGGTATAAAATATTTCCATAACCCCTGACAGACCTCTTGTGGCCCAGTCAATTCTCTTACTTCAGATCCCTTCAGGAAGCAACAACCACTGCACCACTGTTTTGCCTGTATCTTGAATGACATCATAATATATGAATACTTTAAAGGAAAGATTTGTTTCTTTCAACAAACTGTTTCAGAGATATATCCATCCTGTGTGTGTCAGTAATTCATTCTTTTTTGTCCCCAGACTACATTTTGTTGATTAAATCCCCGAGTGCCATTTAACATTTCTTCTGCCCTTATAGTTATAAATTTAAACTTTTCATCTTTTTAATTTTTTTTATAAACAGTACGTATTTGTGTTCCTGTTTCATCTTTTAATTCCTTATAAAAGCAACCAAAAAATTGGCATTTCACTGCTGAGTAAAGACACATGCCCTACTTGGTACAGTGGTTGGTTTCAGGAAGCTAAAATATGAAAGGGAAAGATAGTGGAAGAGTGTAGTTGAAACAAACTCAGTACTTCAATAGTATAGTTTCAGATTTGCTTTCCTCAGTTAAGTAATCCTTTCCTCCCACTTTATAACCCACATAAGAAGTCAGATATGTTTTGGGGAAATGTATTAGCCTGTTAGCAATGTCTGTTGAGTTATTTTAAAACTTCATGCAACTTCTTGACTGATTTATAAAAGATAAGCTAATTTCCTTTATCAGTAGGAGTTACCTATGTATATTAATTTTCTTTTCCTGTTAACCACCTGCAATTTGCTGCCCTTTTCTTTTTTGGTCTTACAACTTGCTTATATAGATTTGTGCCTAAAGCAAAGGAAGCTGAAGAATAATATTAGAAGAAAACAACTGGAGGGGTCCTTACCCTTCTACGCATGTTTTTCATATAAGTTTTCTCAAGAATATGGGTGTCTGAATTGATATTTCAGGGTATCCTAACTGTTCACTTATTTTTAAACTTAATCTGATTATCTGAAAGAAAGGAAAACAAACAAAAACTTATGGTTATATTTTTCCTTAGAAAGTTCCCTGCACTTCTTGTGGCGAGAGATTATTACACCTGAGGGTTTGAAACTGTACTATAATCCATATACAGGCTGGTAAGGCAAAATTTTATTTATTTGCTTGATTTAAAAAATAAACGCAATAATAAGCTGTATGAAATTATAACATACATCCTTAGTTTCAGTAATATTTCAAGAAAGTCTTATTAGAGATTTTTTTTTTAAAGCTAGAATGCATTGCTAACATTTGTCACTTTAGTAAATGAATACTTCATAATAGACATAAGATGTTTAGTCATCTAGATTCAAACAAGAGATTTTTATTCTAAGTAGAAATGTTACCTTTTTTATTACTAGGTTGTTTTTACACTTTTCGTTGAATTTGTCAATTTATGCTATAAAAAGTTTTAGGAATCATTGATAAATATAATTAGTGAATGATAGTTATTCCCCTTTATGCTTTACTCACAGATTCATAAAGATCATAGAACCCAGATATATTTCCTTTTAATTATAGATGAAAAAATTAATGAATATTTATCAGTACCACTTTCGTTTCTGCAGACTTAGCTCAGCTTGTACAGTTTTTTTATTATGGTTCTTATATTTATGATCTAGGGATTTTAATTGTTTCACCCTAAGGAATACTTCGAATAAACAGGCATTTCTTCCTTTCTTCCAATATTCTCTTGGAGTTCAAATTAAGAAGAGTATTTTTTACTTACACTCCTGTGATGTACTGTGCTTGTTTTTCACTCAGCATCACCCGTGAGCACCCACATTCTGGACCACAGTTGCTTGGTGGAATCCTAGCAGATGAGATGGGTCTTGGAAAGACAGTGGAGGTTTTGGCGCTCATTCTGACACATACTCGACAAGATGTCAAACAAGACACTCTCACTCTTCCTGAGGTAGGAGGAGTTCTGTATTGCTCGGCAAAGCAGGGGACATACGTTCTCAAAAGGCATCATATGGTGAACATTTGCTTGGTGCACACGTTGACACTTTGTTCAGTGTGGCTAATGATTAGCTACACTATATTAGCATTGCTTAACTTCAGTGGGCACAGAGAACGGGCTGTGGGTGAACCTACAAGGTTTTCTCATGATGTTGGCCAACTAGGAAGAGGGTATGCAGCCACCTACAAGCGTCCCACTAGTTGGCAGAGAAACCCCTGTATGAAAGTACTGTTGACTCCTCAGAGGTTTTGTCACTTCAACAACACATCATTTAGCACTAAATATTTTTAAGAACTCTTTAAAAAAATAATACAAATCTCAGATATGTAAATCTTCTACTCTAGTAATTAGAACTTTGTTGTAGAATAGGTAACTTAGCAAATAGATTGTTAGATGAGACAGATTCTTAAGGCCTTTGCCTGAAATATATAATTGTGCTTAAAAATACAAAGTTTACGCCACCTGCCTTGCAGGCACTAGGACCCGAGTTCGATCCCCGGTACCAAAAAAACAAAGTTTAGTGTTAACTCCAAAATCCTCACTGAGGCAAATACAAGCTGATGGCTTGTATTTTGCAGTAATGAAATCTGAGACCAATACATTAAATCCTGCTGAAATGAGACCAGTAGTTAAGAAAGAGCGTAGCTGTAATTAATCTCATTTAGTGATGATCAGGCTCAAAGCATCAGTGAACTATGATCTGTTAATAGGTCAGGTTTCCAAAATTAGTCTTTGAGATTTGAGTAGGTATCTAGTCAGATTTCTCATTGCTGGGACACAATACTGAACACCCACAACTCAAAGGAGGAGGTTTAATTTGACTCATGATTTCAGGGAACACCATCCATCCAAGGCAGGAACATGATGGTGGAAAGGTATAAGGAAGCAAAGTCACTTAGTTCATGGTTTCATAGAAGCCAAAAGAGAAGGAAGGAGCCCAAAACTAGATCACACCCTTCCGGGTCACACCCCAGTGACCCACGCCTTCTGACTAGGGCACACATAAATGATCAGTGGATGAATCCACTAAGTATCATGCCCCCATGGTCCAATCACCTTCCAAAAGCCCACCTCTGAATGCATGATACATTTGGTAGACATGTTAGATCTAAACCATAACAGTAGGAACAGAAAAAAAATCTTTCTTTTGTAGAAAAGTGACTTTAACTATCAATAACTTCCTTCTCTACTCATTACATATTTTAATTCCAAGTTGTTATCTTCAGTATCTTTTTAAGAATGCCTTAAAAATTAATTTCAGATAGTCTTCACTTAATTTTTAAGTAATATAATATGCATAAATTTAAAAAACTCTACTTGTAAGCTTGGAAATTAAAAAAAAAAGGTTTGTGTATATGAATAGTATACGTAACCCTTTCTTTTAAAATTGTTTACTGCTTTATTTCCTTCATGGAAAGAGTGCTAACTTGAATAAACCATTCTGAGTACTAAAAGCAAATGTGTGACTACTGAATGTTGTTTATGTATCAGGGGAAAGAGGTGAGCTATTTCATCCCGTCCCATTGTTTCAGAGGGTCAGTTAAGGACACGGAAAGTCAGAATATGGGATTAGAACCAAAAGAAAAAGTTCAGTGCCCCCGTAAGTATCTCTTAAAAATATCTTCCTACGATGATCTTTGTTTTAGTTCTTGCAATCCTGATACCTTGTCATTGTTATAAATGTTTTCACATTCGTCTGTACATGGGAAAAATGGATCTAGTTACAATTCATAATGTGCTGGAGTTCTTGTTCAGTATGTTTTTCAAATTTCTTTAGCTTACAATTTTAACCTGGTTTTGTTTATCCTATAGTATAACTACATAAAATTTCATTAGTGATGAATATTTCCCTTACACAATGAGAGCATATAGAAGATTGGATAACTAGGGGTGTTTTCTTTCATAATTGTGATAGATTATTGTTTTGTAAGACCAACATTAACCTGAATAATTCTTCCTGAAATGATTTCTATTGTAGTGATTTGTTTAATATGTTGAAATAAATTTTTATTATATATTCCTTAAAATGATGCTGTATCACAGTCAATTTAACATTATTCTTAACTTTCTCCACACTGCGGATTAACTGAGTTGTGTTTCCATTTTATTTTAATTATTTTGACTGAGTTAAGATATCTTTTTGCATTTAGCTACACGTGTGATGATCCTGACAGCTGTAAAAGAAATGAATGGGAAAAAAGGAGTTTCTATCCTTTCCATCTATAAGTATGTCAGTTCTATATATAGATACGACGTTCAACGAAACAGGAGTCTTCTGAAACGGATGCTGAAATGTTTAATTTTTGAAGGTCTTGTGAAACAGATCAAAGGTCATGGTTTCTCAGGGACCTTTACATTGGGGAAGAATTACAAGGAGGAGGATATATGCGATAAAACAAAAAAGCAGGTACTTGAGCATTTATTAAGTACTTACACCTGTACGTCATGCCTAACGGAATAAGTTGACAGATCCCACCTTGCCACTGAAGGTCTTACAGTCTGAAGATTAAAAAACAAACTATAACCATTCCTCATTTATCGAGCAAGTCTCATTCCTGCTACTAGGTTATTAAATGAATTGGTCACTAAATGAGGAATTGTACATAGCATGTACATTACAATATTCAGAGCAAAGAAACGGCCAAAGGAGACTCCAGCTTGATTTGCATAACTTATATGCAGTACTGTAATGTATAATAAAGCTATGGTACTGTACAGTATAGTCCAATCAGCAAAAATTATAGTACTGCACTGTAGCAGCCACCATGAGGCTACACTGCTGCTTGTGTTCCTGTGTCGTAAATCAAAATGTGGGTCGTAAGTCAGAGTGGCGGGTTACAGGTCTGAACAGTGCGCCTCAGCATAAGTCCAAAGAGTCATTAACCATATAGGTCATTAAATGAGGAATATCTGTAGTTAGAAAAAGCACTTATACCTATGACTTCTGTTTTCTAGTTTCTGACTATGAACTTTAGAAGACTAGAATCTTTATTTTGGTTACCACTAAGCCTAAATAAGGGTGTTTGGCGCATAACAAGTATTCAGTTAGATGCACTGTAAAATTAGTTGTTAAGCATATTATAGAGTTTAACCTCTACTTTTGTCATTGCTGCTGTCGTTAGTTAAAAACTTCATTCCACACTAAAATTTGTGAATTTAAGTTCAGAAATATAACTATGTTGAAATAAGTTAATTAAATAATTGTTTTTTCATAGGCAGTAGGAAGTCCAAGGAAATTTCAGAAAGAACCCAGAAAATCAGGGAATAAGGACACAGATTCTGAATACTTGCCATCAAATACCTCCGACGATGATGATGACCCTTACTATTATTATTATAAGGCCAGGAAAAATCGTAGTAAACTGAAGAAAAAGCCTGTGCCATCCACAGAAAAAGGGAAAAGTCAGCCTGACACCGTTGCTGACATACAAGGTCACTGTCCAGCCGCAAGTGAGTCTGGAATTACTGATGTTGCCATGTCTGAAAGTACATGTGTCTATGAAGTCAAGCAAGAGCAAGAAGCTAAGGACCATTGTGAATCTCTAAACCCTGCCAGGAATGAGGGGCCACATTCTAACGTCCTGAGTCCCTATGATAATGCTGATTATCGCTTTGAGTGCATATGTGGTGAATTTGACCAGATAGACCGTAAGCCCCGCGTTCAATGCCTGAACTGCCACCTGTGGCAGCATGCAAAGTGTGTGAACTATAAAGAGGAAAACCTGAAAATTAAGCCTTTTTACTGCCCCCACTGCCTTGTGGCAATGGAGCCAGTGTCAACAAGAGCAACTCTGATCATCTCGCCAAGCTCCATCTGCCACCAGTGGGTGGACGAGATCAACCGGCATGTGAAGTCCTCATCTCTTCGAGTCTTGGTAAGGCCTCTTGGGCTCAGAGGGATAGCAAAATGCACATTTTTGTTTCCTCATGACAGTTTTTATAATCTTGGTTGCTTTATTATTTCATTCCAGAAGTTAACTTATTAACATGATATTAATATTAAATATTAATGTTAAATCACAGGCAGAAGAGGAAATTAAAAGTAAGAAATAGAACAGTAGACTGTATTCTTCCCTAGCTTCTGAATTTTAGAAGTTAGAGCACTTAGAATGTGAATATGTGAAAGCTTTTTTAAAAATTATTGATAACTTAAATGTAAAAGCTAGTAGAAGCATTTATGCTTTGAGAGAAAAATATATTCCCAAGGCAACATTGTGAAATTGCAGCTGTCTGCCTGATCTATCTATCACCTTTTAGCTCCAAAATTGTCCTCTGAAGTCTCAGTAACCTCTTTGGTAAAATAAAAATTTACTCATTCAGCACGTTTATTGAGCACCTATTATGTGCCAAGAACTATGTTAAGTTCTGAATGAAATAGTATCTTGACATAGATTTGTTATGAAGTTAAACAATTTGGTAAAGTCCTGGCACATAGTGATGGTCCATTAGGGTTATTGTTTGCTACCATTAGTACCTTTTGCTATCTTCGTTATTCCTTCTTTCCGTGCAAGTATTATTGTAGGTTTTTTATATTTCAGCCACTATCGTAGGCTAGGAGAATACAGTAATAAGTAAAGCATACTTTTTCTCATTGAGGAGCTGTGTTCCGTGAGGGTTGGTGAGCTTAGAAGTCTCAACGTCTTTATTTTTGAGCAAGTCAGTTGATGTTCCTTTATGTGTGGGATAGGAATCATTGAGCGACTACAGTACTGTTGAAATTTAAAGACAGTGCTTACCACCATGTTTGAAATGCAAATGGTATTTCATGAATATAGTTCCTACTGTTCTGTTTTTCATATCAGTGTGCTCTCACATAGCTATCGATTCCTTCGTACACCTGTCCTCTTCCTATTCTCCACTATGAGAACTCTAATTCTGGAAGGTATACCTGACATTTTAGCTCCTCTGAATTCTCCTTTTCAGCCACACAGTTGGTCTTTCCACTGTGCTGTTACATTTACTTTTGTTACAGTTCCTTCCATATTTCTCATCTAGACAGGTAGGATATCTGCCTTGTAGCATGTATAATCCTAAGCACGTGGAAAGGGCTCAGGGTTTAAATAAATGAATATTTCATTTGTCTTTGATGAACTCTTTTACAATAACTGCATTGGTGCTGATTATTTCCTAGGTATATCAAGGAGTAAAGAAAGATGGCTTTTTACAACCTCACTTCTTAGCAGAACAAGATATAGTTATCATCACCTATGATGTCCTTCGTTCAGAACTGAACTACGTGGATATCCCACATAGCAATAGTGAGGATGGGCGTCGCCTACGGAACCAGAAGCGATACATGGCCATTCCCAGCCCCCTGGTGGCTGTGGAGTGGTGGAGGATCTGCCTCGATGAAGCCCAGATGGTTGAATGTCCTGCAGTGAAAGTGAGGGTCCCTGCAAGAATCCTTCGGGGGCTGGGGAAGAATGAGAAAGGGTTTAGGGTAAACTGAATAGTTTAATAGTTAAAGTGTAGTTCACCTACAATACTGATAGTAGTCGAAAGTTTGCTATTAAATGCTCTGTATTTCATTTGCTCTTGTGCAATGAACTATGCCACCCTTTGGGATTGTTTTCACACCCTGTGCCTGATTGCTCTGTGGACACTGTTCGTATATATTTGGATGTCAGTTTATGGGTGATACAAATCAAAATAAACTGTATTTAGGAAATTTTTTAATAATTTATGCTGACTAGAAGCTCAGCATGTGGGCTCTAATAACTTTGAGCCAGAGTTGACTCTTATAGTTTAATCTTTCCCAGAGAGATCAGATGGTTACAGAAAATGCTTCTTCAGAGAACAGAATTTTATCTCAGCTTTTATCATGTATCTTTCTCTGGTCTTCTTCAAACAATCTGAATTGAATTTATGCATCATATCTATTGCTCCAGAGGTTTACATCTGGAGTGTGAAGTGTATAGGTGACTTAACAGTTATTTAGCGGCGTTTTCCATTCTCTACATGTGTAAACTTCCCGTCCTTTTCAGGGTGGCACATGGCAGCCTCCCACCTAAGAGAACCACTGCCCATTGACTAGTACATTCGACATCTGTGTGATAACTGTTAGATAAGAGCAGGTGCATCTCACCTGAAGTACAGCTTTCGCGGGCGATTCTATGAGTAAATGTATGCCTGATGTCCACATTCTTCATGTGACTCTTTTTCCTTTTGTTTGTGCTTTGTATTCCTCTCTTATAGGCTGCAGAAATGGCCCTGCGTTTGAGTGGGATTAATCGGTGGTGCATCAGCGGCACTCCAGTACAGAGAGGCCTGGAGGGTAATGTCCAGTGTCCACACATACTGCAGTGACTCACAAGCTTGCTGTTTCTGAGGAAAAATATCATTGTTTTTCGGCTTTTAAATCCTTATACAGATGAACATGTATTTACACTTCACTCCTAAGTTTCCAGCATTTATCTTTTTAAATGGAACTTGAGTGATTGTTCTATTTTTTGATATAAGAACAGATGTGAAGTGAGCGGCCCCACTGCCTCAGGGCGAACAGTTACTTTACCTGCCTACACAAGATGCACAGGGGTCTGAAGTGATCTTAGATTTCCAGCCTGATAGGTAGAGAACAAGACCTTAGTCAAGAAAGAAGGACAGAAGGAAGAAACAAGGGAGGGGAAAGAGAATTCCAGCTGACTGTGTCTGTTAAAACAGAGACCATATTTTCATTGTCTGAATCTAGAGTGAGATCATAATTTTCCTAATTCTGAAAGTTAGAAAATAGTAATAGCTTTATAATGTCCCACCATATGTATAGTGTCACACCATTCCTTTTCTTGATTTGTCTAGTCTTTTTCTCTCCACACATACATTTTGATAGGAAAGACCCTGCATTTTTAAAATCTTTAGGCAAGTTGTAAACATTTAAAACTATAAGTAAATGTTTTATACAAATCTCCTGAAAAGCTGTCATTAAAATGTAGCTAAATTCTAAACTTTAGATATACTTTCATCTTCAAAATTTACCTTTCTGAAAATTGAAGTTTTCATATTACCTTTGATTTGAACAGGATAATTTATTATGGGCCAAAATAAAAATATCAGCCTTTATTACTGCAACCTGAGTGGTTATTTTTAGAGGAAAAATATTTCCTAGGGAAATTATAAGTGCATATTTCAATATTGACATAACTTTTGCAAAGATAATAGAAAGTCCCCATAAACCCTGTACCTGGTTTCTCTTTCTGGTGCTCTTACCATCCAGAGAGGCTGAGACAGTCTGCAAAGGCGTGTGCTTGGCTTCTTTTAAAAATTCACATAATCTGATGTTAAATAAAGAGGCTTTATTATAGAATATCAGCCTCATTAAAAGGTCTGCTTTCACCTTTGGTAACTGCAAAAAGCATACAGTAGATATTAGGTATTAGATCTTATTCAGCTCAAAAGTCAGCTGAAAGGGTACGGTAAAAAAAGTAAAATGACTATTAAAGTTATTTTCTCTCACTGTAATGTTGAAAGCATATGAGCAAAATAGGTTATTCTGATGATATATGATGTTGGCAGGTGCTTTGATTACTTGTTACCATTCAATAAACTCTTGAGTAATTTTTTAAAACACAGCTTTTGAGCTGTTTCAGCTTTATCGAGGTATAAATGACATATAATAAAACTAAGTATTTAAAATGCGAAATTTGAAAAGTTTTGGCGTATGTGTATGCCTATGAATCTACTTCCACAATAAGATAATTATGCCCAAGAGTCTCTTCATCCCGTAAGTTACTTTAAAAGCAGCTTTGCCAAGCTTTTTGGAACTTTGTCTTTTCTCTTTCTCTGATATCTGTGTATATTCTCACCACTGTATCTGATGTTTTCCTAGTTACAGTGACAACATTAGTTTGCCCATGACTTTCTATGCTGCATTTGGAAATTTAAGTTTCATTTACTTTCTTTGTTCTTCAACCAGAGTTTCTTGACCTTGGCATTTTGGGCCTGGTAATTCTCCTTTGCACTGGATAATTCTTTTTGGATGGGGACTGTCCTGTGATACGGGGTGTTGAGGCACTGGCACTAAATGCTGGCAACAGTCCTGTAATTCTGACACCTACAAATGTCTGCCAGGTGTCCCTTGGAGAGAAAATTACACCCTTCCACTTCCACCCCAGTTCAGAAACATTGTGCTAGCCTGATGGAGATAAGTCATATTGGCCAGGAGTTGAGCAAGGAAATGAGAGTAGAGTGTTTTCAGTCCATAATTTGCTAGGCCTTTAGTGTGGGCCGGAAGGCAGGCTGCCATCCTGGATGAGAAAGATGCCACCTTCCCCTGCCCACCTGTGTCTAATATACTTGTTGTTTGTGCAAAACTTTGGGACTTTCTAAACCTGAGTTCTCATCTTGGCTTATTAGTTCTATGTTTGTAAACAAATTGCTTACATATTCATATCTTTATTTTCCTTATTTTAAAAGAAGGACATTTTAAAGATCAATTATAAAAAAGTATATAAAGTATTTGCCACAGTATCCAGCAGGTGTTAAGTATTTAATGACTGATAGCTGCTTCCACTTTTTTGTTTTTATTTTCCACTTATGCAGTCATTTATTTATTTCACTTTCTTAGAAAGTGTTGACTTTAAATAACTTAAGTTCTCTGTATGTATCTTTCATTTAGTGTTTGTGAAGTATCACAGTGAGCAAAAATAGACAAAGTCCCTGAAGTTACTGAGTTTACAGTTTAAATGGGAAAAAATAAATAAAATATATATATATAGTGCTTACAAAAAATATTAAATAGAACCTAGATAATTATCACAAATGAGAAAATTATAAAATTCTAACTAAATCAGATTTCCTAAAAAGGTATCACATGATAGGAAGGAAGAGGGAAGTGACAACTGAGTTGAAATCTGAGACATTAACGTGAGGTAAAGAGCTGAGGGAAGAACTCTCCCTTACAAAGGAACAAAGCATGTGAAAGTCACATGGCAGGAAACCATGAGTATCAGTGTGGTTAGAGGAGAGAAAGCTGAGGAAAACATGCATTTTAAGAAAAATAGGAGCTACTGAAAGGATTTAACGCAGTGGTGTGGGGTCATTTTGTGGTTAGGTTTTATTTCACATATCACTCTAGTTGCAGTATGGAGAATGGCATAAAAGAGGAGCATCATGGACATTACCATATCAGCGGTTGGCTGTGAGAAGTACTCTTGGGAAGTGATGCTGGTACTTTGAGTTTGGACAGTAGTTGTCCTAGAGCAACGGTAGGGAGCCTGTTGCATGCATGGCGCAACAGGCACACAGAGCCTTCTGTGTCAGCCCACAAGCCAAGTCACCCCAGCCACGGTTTGACCTATTATCAGCATCATACAACAGCAAAGATCACAGTAATTGTGTAAAAGCACGCCAAATGCAAACTTTTACCATTCAGTATAAAGCTGGTGATATCATTGAAAACTCTGCTGTTGTGTTTTTCTTTTAATACAAAAGATATTAATGTATGAGTTACTTTTTCTAAACTAAAACCTATTCAGGTTTAATAGCAGCATTGGAACTTTGCAATAAGTTGATTTTGGGTTGCAGTTTGGGGACTCATCACTGTCCTAGAGAAATAAAAAAAAGTGGATACGGAAAATGAACCAGTCTTGGTGGCAGATCAGAAAACGCCAAGATTTCTGATTTGCTTAAATCTGTGAGTGGAAACAATATTCACCAGTGAGTACTGCTAAAAGAAAAGCATATTTGAGCAAAAAGATTATGAATTTGATTTTGACAAATTTTTGATGCTTTTAGAATCTCAAAAAAAGAGGTAACACACAGGTAATTGGATGAATTTGAGCTAAAATATAAATGGGCCTCTTCATGTAGGCACTGACCTGTCAGCTCTTTCAAAGGTTATTAATTCCCAGAAGCCAGCAAAATAACTTAATTCAGCCTAAATATTTGTTGCTCATCCTCAAATAGATGTTATAGGTATGCTAATGGTTTATTTTTAAATAATTGTTATGCCTTTTGAAGAGAATATATCCATTGTAAAAATTTACAGATACAGAAAGAAAATTGCAGTCACACGTGTAAGTCTTCATTTGAAGACAAAACCATATTGAGTCTTTTGTGTTTAATTTTTATATTTGAGCTCACAGCATGCATAATTTTATGCAATCGTTCATGTAGCATTATATCTTAAGTTTCTGTGTTAAAAATCATCACAAATAAATATATGGAAATACTTAGGATATGCTGAGAAAGATGAAATATAAAACTGAGTGTGCCTAATCAAGAGACATGTAAGAAGTACCATACTCTAAAACTAATACTTGGAAGATCTGCTAAATCAGAAAACTAGTTCTATTGTATTAGTACCATAATTTACTAACTCTTCTTTATTTGAATCACTCTTATTCTGTGTAGTGTGAGTAAATCCTGTCTATTTTTTTTGTTATTCTCTTGGTCTTGTTTATTAGAGTGGAGTTACTTGGTCAAAGGTTGTAGAATATTGGATCAGAGAATATCGTTCGTATCACCTATGTGATTAGGAATTTTTTCTGATCCATTAAATCTTGTGTTGGCTATGTTATTTCTTATGTATATCTTATCAAGCATTAAAATAGTTTTTTTTCACTTTTGTCTGATGGTAATTTCAGACTCTTGGATTAAGTACAAACTTTGTGTAATAATTCTGTAAGCTTTGTTGACATTTCCACACCTGGAACAAAACCTAAATCAAAATAGAACTCAATAAATGTGAATTGAGTTGGAATTAAATTTCAGATTCAAGAGACTCTAAAACTGCATTTTCAAAATAGTAGTGAAGAAGTACTGAAACAGTTATTTTCAATGTGCTTTTGCTGTTTTTATTTTCAGATCTTTTCGGGTTAGTGGTCTTTCTTGGTATCGAACCTTACTGTGTCAAACACTGGTGGTTTCGGCTCCTCTATCGCCCTTACTGCAAGAAGAATCCTCAGCATCTCTACAGCTTTATTGCCAAGATTCTGTGGAGGTCTGCAAAGAAAGACGTGATCGACCAAGTCAGTATGATGAGTTTTTATTGATGAAGGATATTGCAAGAGGGAAGAAGCTAGTTGGGATGAAATCTGTATTACTCCTCTTTACAGATCCAGATACCACCTCAGACCGAAGAAACACACTGGCTGCACTTTTCTCCGGTGGAAAGACACTTCTATCACCGGCAGCATGAGGTCTGCTGCCAGGATGCCGTGGTCAAACTCAGGAAGATTTCTGACTGGGCTCTGAAGCTCGGCAGCCTGGACCGAAGGACTGTCACCTCCATCCTGTACCCATTGCTGAGGCTCAGGCAGGCCTGCTGCCACCCACAGGCTGTGCGCGGGGAGTTCTTGCCCCTTCAAAAAAGGTCTTACTATCTGTTTCCTTCTCCTGTGGTTGACACCTCCATAATGACAAATAATACTTAAGCAGAGTACCTTCTGGGCTTGCAATTTTGTGCAGCTGTTTTTAGAAATGTGATGCTTTTTCTTTGTATGCAACCTCATTTGTGAAAGAGAACCACATCAACAGTATTTTCATGATTTTGAGTATTTTAAGTTAGGATTTTGGAGGAGTTTTTGTTGTATTCATTTGTGGCTAAACTCCAGATGCAAAGTTTTGGTTCTTACTATATTTCTTAGTTTCCACATTGAGGAATTTGATTATTATTAAATGTTTTCTGTATAATTGTGCTAGCTTTATGTGATTTTTCCATTCAAAAACATGAGGGAAATTATGTCTATAATATTCTGTTCCGCCAGAAATTTATTGTTTTAGAAACTGGCCTACTTTTAGCACCTGATATTAGGAAGAAATTCTTTAGGTCCTATGAGAGATATAAAGAGGACTAGATTTTGTCTTTGTCTTTAAATAGATTACAGACAAATTTGGGGAAATAGCAAAGATGATAGATTTATATAATACGAGGCATGCATGATAAATTTTTAAAACATGCATACAAATTGCTATGGAAATTGTTTCTTTTTTAATGGTTAAGGTTAGACACCCTTATGGTAGAAATGATATTTAACTTGGTCCTTGAAGGATCTTTTTTTTTAAACAGATTAATTAAATTGCAATGCTGAGATTCAGACCCAGCTTTACATTCTTAACCTGTGGTCTTTTAATTATATATATATAATATATATATTATGTATATATATATAGGGAGGGGCTTTGAGATAGGGTCTCATTACGTAGTTCACACTGGCCTTGAACTCATTATATAGCCCAGCCCGGCCTCAAACTCATGGTGATCCTCCTCCCTCAGCCTCCCAAGTGTTGGGATTATAGGTGTGCACCACCATGCCCAGCCTGAATATATTTTATATTTTGTATTTAAAAGAGATTTTTCTAGTTTGTTTCTCCCTTGACTGAAATGGAAAACATTTAAAGAATGATAGGATCAGACAGAGGAATGCTTGCCAGAATAGTAATAAATAAGTTAAAAGCAATACTGATAAAAAAATCAAGCTGAAGAACAAACCACTGGTGGTACCATCTTGGCTAGCACGCCCACCTGGGAACTGACCACTGGGGTTCTCTGTCTTGTTTTAACATTCTGCCTCTTCTTCCAGCACCATGACAATGGAGGAGCTGCTGACATCGCTGCAGAAGAAATGTGGGACTGAATGTGAAGAAGCGCATCGGCAGCTCGTCTGTGCCCTCAATGGCTTAGCAGGCATCCACATCATTAAAGGTAGAAGGTGATGGCTTTGGTACCTCTCGTTCTTCTGAGGAAAGTTTATTATACTCAAAGTCAGCCTCTCCCAAGACAGACACTTTCACACACTCCTGACTGTAATTTAAATAGGTTCCATTCAATAAAGATCAATTATGCAGAACTTTTTTAAAACTTTCAAAGTTACATTCCCTTTGTCCAAACATTGCCACTTATAGAAAGTTTTTTTTCACCCCTTAGGGAACTAAGATGTAACCAAAGATTGGGCCATAAGTTATGAACCTTATTCTTTTATGGTGAATAATACAAAACAACCAAAATGTCTAGAAATAGAACGGTTAAATTTTGATTCATTTATCGGAGTGTTGTTTATTGCCTTTAAAATACTGTTATTTATAAATATTTTCTCCATAAATAATTTATGTACTGGGAATGATCTAGGAAAAGTGATGCAAAGTAAAGTCTCAGACTCTGTAGATCTTTAATTCTTTCAGAAGGTGACAGATACATATGTTTACACACACAATGTCTGTATGTAAAGTTATAAATTATATATCAGACACAAAGTTAAAGCAGGTCAGAAAGATCCTCTAATATGTCTGTGGAAGAGTCTTTACTTGGTTGTTTTCCCCCTCTCAAGAATCACTTTTTTGTTGCTTTATGTCTTAATAGCCTTCAAACTGTCATGTCATGTATTATGCCTGTCTTAGTTGTTACAAGACAGAAGTTAAATCCGGTATCTATTACTCTGTCTTAATGAGCAGCAGAAGGTCTATAACTGGCACTTCTAATAAGCACCATTTGGTAGACACCATTTCATAGAATCATTAGAACTTTGTTTCACAGATTAAGAGTTCAGTACAGACATTAAAAACATACAATCAGACTTCTAGAGATGAAAATTTCAGTGTCTAATACGGAAAATACACTTTAAATAAATAGAAGATTAGAGATTGAAGGAGAGATCAGTAAAGCTGAAGTATAGCATACCAGTGGAAAATTTCTACCATGAAAAACAAAGACAAGACTAAATTTGAAAAAGAGCATCAGTGAAATTATGAACAACTTGAAGTGGTCTAAAAGTCATAGGGGCTCTGAGGAAGAAAACACTTTATGAACAAATACATTGTAGGTTTTATAACATGAAATTGTAAACTATGCAGTAGCATTACCACAAAGTCTGGGAGAAGAGAAGGGGATATATAATGGGTCATGGTTAATATACCATAGGTAAAATGATATGATGATATTACATGAAGCTGGACTTTGACAAGTTAAGGTATGTATTATGTAGCCTATAGCAACTGAAAAAAGAAAAAAAGAAGAAAGAAGGAAAAAGGAAGAGAAAAAAAGCAGTAATAAAAGTGTTTTATTTAAATAAAAGCCAAAAGAAAAGGGGAACACAGAGCAGACCAATTAGAAAACATAGCAAGAGAGGGTCGATTTAGTCCAGCCTGTATCAGTGATCATATTAAATGTGAGGCTCTAAATACCCCAGTTGAAAGACAGAGACCGTCAGGATCTAAAATAACATGCCAGCATATCCAACAACATGCCATCTATACATGCCATATACATGTTCCAAATACCCACAACAAAAGTTGTCATTATCACAAACATATACTGTAAAAAGACAAAGAGGTACCACATTAACATGCTTGAAAGCTGAAGTGACTATATTACTGTCAAGCAAAATGGGTTTCAGAGCAGAGAACACTGCTATTTTATCACTGAAAAAAACATCCTAATGATTATACACCTAAAACTAGAACTTCAAAAACTGATAGAACTGTAATGAGAAATACACAAATCCATAATTATAAGAGATTTCAACATCCCTCTCTATTTTTTTTTTTTTTTGGTACCGGGTTTACAACTCGGGTCCTTGCTCTTGTGAGGCAGGTGGCGGAACCACTAAGCTAAATCCCCAGCCCCTCCTCTCTCAATTATTTGCAGAACAAATAGACGGAAAATAAGTAAATACATTGACAACTCAAATAATACTACCAGTCAGTTTACCCAATCAACACTTACTGAACACTGCCAACCAAAGAGGAATACATTTTCTTTGCAATTACACCTGGAATATTCCCCAGATAGGGCATATTCTGGGCTGTAAAACAAATGAATAAATTTAAAAGGATTCAGATCTCCCTATGCATGTTCTATGACCACAGTGGAACTAAATTAGATATCAGTAAAAGAAAAATAACTAGAAAGTCTTCAAATATTTGGAAGCTAACACACTTCCAAATAACCCCAGGGATATGAAGAATAAATCCAAAGGGAAACTAGGAAGTATTTTAAAGGAAATGAAATTGAAATATCCAGATTCGTAAGATGCAACCCATCAGTAAAGGGAAATTTGTAGCACTAAACACATTAGAAAACTAATATAACAGTGTATTGTTACAGTTGTTTCATTTTTAGTTATTGTCAATCTTTTGCTGAATTATAAATTAAACTTTACCATAGGTGTGTAGCTATAGGAAAAGACATAGTATACATAGTGTTCAGTACTATCTAGTTTTCAGCATCCACTGGGAGTTCTGGAACATATGCCTTGCTGATATAAGGGGACAACCATGATATTAGAGCTACCATTTTGTGATAAGTGGTAATTTCTTTGCCCTTCCTACAAGTAATCCTTGTATGTTCAAGCATAAGGAAGGTTACTAATACAGTAGACTAATGCACAATCATGGAGAGAATTTACCACTGTTCACATTTACCAGTAAGAATTTAAAGAAACCAAGTGTGCAGAGAAAATTGTATTGTAGAGTCTAAGGCAGTACTCTAAGCATCTTTGTCTAGCCTGTAGTTATTGGTTCTTCAGCATGACAGAATGAGAACTAGAAGATATCTCTTACCGTTCTGTCTTCTTTCCCTTAAGATTTATCATTACCAGGGGCCGGGGCTTTAGCTCAGTGGTTTCGCTGCCTGCTGAGCAAGTGCAAGGACCCGAGTTGGATCCCCGGTACCAAAAAAAAAAAAAAAAAAAGATTTATCATTACCTTTTTATGCTCTGAAGTTAGGCTTGGGAAATGATCATCTGATCATTCCCAGTAGTCAGGCTCTGCCTCGCAGGGTGGAGTCCCCCATGCCACTGCATCGCATTACAGTCGCTTTAGCAGTTCTTTTCAGATGGCTTCTGTTGCATTCCCATGTAGTTCTTTCTGTGGGTGGGATTATAGGACACTAATGCAACTTACTAAGAGAAATCCATAGCAGAATATCTATTAATGCAGAATATCTCCATTCTGAATTTAATTATTATAAACTTAATTGTAATGGATTTGCTGCTTGTAGTTTCTATTACTTGATAGTATACTAAATAATATCCATGTTGAAAGTTACATTATAGTCAACTTGCATAATTTAGATTCTTTTAATGTAAGGTCAGTGAAGATCTAACTTAAAAGAATTCTAAAATTAGCTTCAAAGTCTAGAAGAGATTTGCTTGTATTATATGTAAACATATGTGTGCTATATAATGACTGTTCGTAGGCCCTCACTGATTGTACTCTTAAAACATGGTGTTATTCCAGTTTTGAACAACATGCTTTCTACAGATTTTTTCAGAAAATTTCAGTTTTGCAATATTAAATCCAGTACATTTTGTTTACTTGGAAGTTTTAGTGCCATCAAGTGGCTAAGAAAAGGTTACCTTTAGCTTAAATTTGTGTAACTTATTGAATACACATATTTTACGTGTTCGTCAAAATCCATCTCCTTTTTCAGTAAACAAAATTCATAGCATAGTGAGTAGTTCAAATTCAGCTGCTTTTAATAGTTTAGTCACTATTTCCTCCTTTAAAAGGGGTAGTGATTATGAAGGGAGAATTCTTCAATGATTTATTATCTATAAATAATATAAATACTAATAGAATATATGATTACTGAATAGTATCAATCAAGAATTTGAAATTTGATAACTCACTGTGGGAAGATAATTGAGTATTCCACATTATATAATGGGACTTTATTATGAAAATAATCTCCTTCATCAAAGTGAGTAGAAATTGGATGAGTCTGTACTACTATGAAAATACATCTTTTAGAAAGCTTTATGTAACATAACTGATAATACTAGATATAAAGCAGAAATATAAAAATAAATGTTTTACACAATAGTATGAATGTACATAATGCTGCTGGAAATGTACACTAATTATTGGGTGAAATGATAGATTTTATGTTACGTATATTTTATTATTGTGTATATATCAGCTTTCAGAGAGGGAGAGAAGCAACTTAAAACACAAAATTGTGTATATATAGAAAGCTTGTTGTTATGAACACAATCCTTAAATATATGATATTAAACTACTTTAAAAAGAAAAGCAAGTACATGTGATATTACAGTCTCTTATTTCATGATTTTGCCACTATTATATTTTAATTGTATTTGTAATTCACCAGTTTTTAATTTTTCTCCAAGTAACAAATAAAGTTGATTGTATTATTCAACTTTCATCTCTCCTTTCAGGTGTGATTAAATTTTTCCTGTAAACAGCCACACTAAATTTTCCAGGCTTTACATAGGATCTTTGCATCTAATCACCTCCGCCCTTACAGTATAAAAGCAACCATGGGCAATACATGAACGAGCACAACTATGTTTCAGTAAAACATTTATGGATCTGAATTTCAACTAATTTGCCCATGTCACAAAATATTATCATTTAAAAATTTTTTAAACTGTTTAAAACTGCAACAACTTGTCTGCATTGTAGTTCAATGATAGAGGACTTGCTTAGCATGCACAAGGCCCTGAGTTTGCTCTCCAGCACTGCTAAAAATAAAAAATAAACTAAATAAAAATGTAGAAGCCATTCTTACTTGATGGGATCTATAAAATTGTGGAGTCAGCTATGATCCATAGGCCGTAGTTTGTCAACTTATGCTTTAATACTTTTTGAATTACTGTATGTGATTGAGCTGCTAATTATAAACAAAAGACTGCACACATTTCTGATTAATTATGATTTGTATGACCAGAAATGAAAAGATTTTTAAGTTTTTGAAATGTAATTTTTTAATGACAAATTATTTTGGCCTAATGATCCCAGCAACAATATCTACAATGAATAATGTTATTATTTTTCTGAGAATTATGTGTAAGTTGATCATACTATCTTGAATATGCTTTTATAAATGCTATAATTAACCCAAATTTGTTCATAATTTCAAATCATAATGGCTACTATTGGGCATCCTTTCACTTGCAAGAGGAATATTAATTATCTACATTAAAAGTTGTTTTTGATATAATTTTTAAAACCATGCTATAATTATCCCAAATTTGTCCGTAATTTCAAATCATAATGGCTACTTTTGGGCATCCTTTCACTTGCAGGAGGAATATTAATTATCTACATTAATAGTTGATTAAGTTTGTTTTTTACATAATTTTTAAAACATTGTAAGTATATTTGATTATAAATATATCCCATTGCAATTTCAGGACACTAAATTCTGTGGAATTACAAAAAAAAAACTAATTAGATTCTATTTCTTAAACTGAGATAGTCATATTAATACCAGGTCAAATTACTTTATTTGAAAAAACAATTGAAAGTATAGCTCAGTGGTAGAATGCTTACATAAAACCCAGTGTCCTGGGTTTGATACCCAGCACACACACACACACCCAAAAAGTGAGCTATGATCATTAAGATATGTTTTTTGTCATAGATGTTTTTAGATTATAGGTAACTAAATTACACTGGAATTAAATACGTTACTTCTGCTTTAAATACATTTTATTTCTTCAGGCGAGTATGCTTTGGCAGCGGAACTGTACAGGGAAGTGTTACGTTCATCTGAGGAACACAAAGGAAAACTCAAAACTGATTCACTTCAAGTAAGTCAAAACCAAAAAAGAAAAAAAGTTCCAAGTTATGTACTCTGTTCAAACAAAATAATTTTTCTGGATACTTAAGAGAGTACAGGGTAACAGACTGAGTTATAGTCACTGGAGATAAACCTTGGGACTCATCCCTTGTAAGAAGCACCCAGAGTGATCTACGTATGTAGTAAAGTTGGAGAATCATCACTGTTCTATCTGCTTTCTCCAGTCTTGGCCTTAAGTATGACAAGATAAATCCATAATCTACATCAGAAAAATAGCTCAAATCATTTGTACTTCAAAGAATAGGTTAAATCAGTTTTACAATTTTTGCATATGAACATCACGGTATTTATTCACATAGTTTGTACCAAAAAGAAAAATAGTTAGACTAAGTCTTAGTAGAATTAAGACAATGAAGAGCTATCCAATGATCTAATTTACTTAGAGTCATTCAGGGAGATTTAAGATATTTCATTTATAACACTTGTTTCTTTTTCATTTCTTGATTTTGTCCAGTGGACCATAGACCAGCCTCTCTAGCTAAATGAGAAATTAAAAACCACTTTTAATTGATTTTGACAAGTTTACACTTGAGTCCTAGGTGAATTAATTTCTTTGCTATTCATGCAAAGGGGACTCATGCTCACATGTGACACAGTGGGTATTTATAGGAATGTAGGAAAGTAGTTTGACAACTAGAAACTGCTTTTGGTTTATTCTCATAGCCCTTGATTGCAGAGTGAACTCTAGCCAGTTGCAAACTCAGTATCACAGTGGGAAATGTATTATCTGTAGACATAAAATATAATTTTCTCTTTCTTACAACATCCTTACCTCCAGCTTCTCCCTTTTTCAGTCCTTAAATTCAGCATGTCCATCTCATAACCCTGTTTTCTTATGTGCTTCATTATCCTTATTTTTGTCATAATGTAATTGCTAGGCTTATTCAGACTCATTTTCCAAGAGGAAAGGAATCAAGTCAGTGCAATCAGCCTTTCTATTTCACTAATTTATTTGGCTTGCTCATACTTTCCTATATACAAATGCACATATAATAGGAAAAAATATACTTGTACTACATATTCTGCTGAATGCAGAGCTACACTGCATAAGGCTGTATGTTTTTAACTGAAGAAAATTCACGTCATTATGACTTAAGACCTTTGCTATGAAACTGACATAAGTTTTCTCCAAATAAGTTGGTACTCAAATTGTTTTAGAGGCAAACTATTTGGTTATAATGATCTTAACAGTCTTAGTGCTGTATGCCATATTAATATTAGATTCTTTTAGAGCCTACTGTACTGCCTGTCATACCTACTGCTTTTTGTGTTTGTAGAGACTTCATGCTACCCATAACTTGATGGAATTATTGGTAGCCAAGCACCCAGGGATACCTCCTACCCTGCGAGATAGTAGACTTGAAGAAGAGGTAATTACTGTTTTACAGAAATTCTGTCTGTAGAAGTTTTTTTTTCAAGTTTTATGCTGCTTCTAGTTGATATTTCCCAGGGTACACATTTAAGTAAATGCAACCATATTTTCCTATTGCTTTAATGTTCCAAACTTTGTTATGGTGACTTTGAGTGGCAGAGAATGGGGATACTCCTGTCTGATTTTGCTTCTCTAGTAATCTGCTTAAAATTATGTTACATGATAACTGCTTCTTTCAGCTGTGGCATTGGTTTAAAAAAGACTGCTGATCTCATTGCCTATCTACAAAAGATGTAGTTTGGTAAATTTAAAAATTATGCACTTTGTCTACCTTCCTGTATGTTATTGAAGGTGCTAAGTAAACTCAGATTTTCACTGGTATTTCTCTCAGAGAAGTTCCCTCCACAATGAATGTTGCCTCTCATTGATGCTGTAAATTACTGTAAACTGTTAAGAGCTTATTATGTTAATTCTCCCATAGATTTTTACCATTTTTAAAGATCAAAGAGGAAGAAAAAAGCTAAAATCAAAAGATTATAATTGAAATGCATTGAACCTGTAATTGGAGCCTTTATTTGAAACAACATGATTAAAAAAATGAGATTGTATAACTGCATAGCCCTTTGACTGCACTGCTGTTTTTAATAAACTATTTTAATTGACAAAATGTGTGTTTTGATGCACATAGAAATTGTAGAATGGCTAAATCAAGTTAATTAACCTATCTTTATTATCTCACATACTTACTTTTATAGGGAAAACATTTAACATTACTGTCTGCTATATTTTACATAAGCAGTGCAATGTTAACTATAGTGATTATGTTATATAATAGATCTCCTTAATTAACACATGGCTGTTTTTTAATTGGACTGTTTGTTTTCTTGCTGTTGTTTGAGTTCCATGTATATTTTGGCTCTAGCTCTTACCCCCAGTCCGTAGGCAGTATTTTCACACTGCTGTGTCTTTTGCTGTGATTTTGAAGACACCATTCTTGAGTCTCAATGGCAGTCTAAATGTTAAGAGTTTTCAAAGTAAATCTCATTCCCAGTATAGGCATCTCATCCATTCATATAGACAGGCACTCTGTCTCAGTGCCTTCAGTGACAGGACACTGCATAGTCTGTAGTAGGCAGCTTTAATGACCAAATAATTATAGCCAAAGAATTGTAATAAACATTAATTGGAAGGTTGGTTTGGGAAAGGAAAAATGGATCATTAGGCAAAATATTTATACTGTGTAACTGTATTTCCAAGGAGACCACATTATTACTTTGCCTAACGCTTATAGAATGTAAAGCCACAGTACTCAAAAGTGGACAACCTCCTAGAATCTATTTGCTTCCACCACCTCCTTTTGCAAATGAAGTAAATGAAGCGCAGAGAAGTAAATGAAGCACAGAGATGTAAATGATTAGTCCAAAGAGTTACATCTGTTTCAGTTGAGCCATATGAAATTCTCATATTTTGTAAGTCAAAAATTGTCAAATATTGACAGTTTCATGCAGTTCAACCTCTACTGAGTGAAAGCATCAGGATTTCCAGTTCAGTAGTCTTTCTAGTTTTCCTTCCACTATTCATATACTAGCCTGTAATCCCCTTTCCTCAGTCATGTAATTGTTTCTAAGGCCAATTGAGTATTCCAGTTGAATGGAAGAAAGTGAAGAATTTTTCTGTTTCTTAATGTTGAATTTATAAAAATAAAATGTTCCTGATTAAAAGAAGAAAATAATTTGATTACTTATAAATTATATGATTATTCTCTTTGAAAAGTAAATAGCTGGCACTGCCAAAACAGTACCACAGAGTGGGAGGCTTAAGACCATGATTTTATTTCTCACAGTTCATGAGGTTGGGGTCCAAGGTCAAAATGTTGGCTTGTTTAGTTTCTCCTGCAGCCCTTCTCCCGTGGCTTATAGATGCCTTGCCTGCCTTTTCACTATATCCTTCCATGACCTTTCCTTCATGCTCGAACATCTGTGGTATCTCTCCTTCTTATAAGACACTACTAGTCATATTGGATTAAAGCCCTTATCTCATACTCTTATTTAATCTTAATTACCTCCTTAAGCAGCCTCTAAAAACCATCATGTTGGGGGAAAAATAAAAATAATTTTAAAATAATAAATACCATCACATTGGGGACTAGGGCTTCCACATAGAGATTTGAGGGAACACAGTTCCATCCGTAACACCTGTGTTAACTGTATATTTTCAAGTATTATTTTAAAACTACAGAATTCTAAGAAGCTGTGATAATACATGAGATAAATAATTCTGAAAGATGTCCTTTGCCTTACATTTTGAAAGGTTAATATTTGTTTTACTCTTTATTTTTTGTAATTAAAAAAATAGAATTTGAGGGAGAAGTTTTTGGGATTTCTTAAATTTTGTGAACTGAGTTGATCATTTTTGTTCACTTTAGTGTATATCTTAGGAATTTCTAATAGGACTATATTTTTTACAGTATACTTGTGCTTTTTTTCTAAATCAAGTTAAGTAACTAAGTATATATAATGGCCACATTGTTCTTGAATCATTCTGTTAGATTACTTTCTAGACCTAGAATGAAAGTTTATATTTATTTTCTATTTCAACACAGGCCAAACAGCTGCAAGAGCACTACATGAGCAAGTGTAATACAGAAGTAGCTGAAGCCCACCAAGCTTTACACCCTGTGCAACAGACTGTACGCGAGCTCCAAAGAAAAGTATGTTCCCAAAATGCAGTGTTTCTTGCTTGTGTTCTATCCAGGAAGCATTTTGGATTTTATTTGGTTTAGGGAGTGTTTTAATTACTTTGTTGTCACTGGGACACAACACTCGACACTCATAACTTACAGGGAGAGAAGTTGATTTTGACTTACAGTTGCAGTCCATGATCAGCCAGCAGCAGGACAAAAGTTGGCACAGCAGAGGGCCATACAGAGGAGAGCTGATCACGTTATAGTGGCCAGGAAGCAAAAAGAGAAGAAGGGAGCCAGGAAGGGAGATAATGCCCTTCCAGGTCACACCTTCAGTGAACTGCCCAGAACCAGGTCCCCCTCCTAACAATAACCCAGCTGTAGCACTCCCATAATCCAGTCATCTTCCAAAGGCCCTCCTTCTGAAACATGACACTCTTGGGGGACATTCTCAGTCTAAACCATAACATCCCAACCCTGGCTCCCAAAGACTCATGTGTATCCCTTTATGCAAAATGCATTTAGTTCATCTCTATGAGTCACCAAAGTCTTAACAGTTTTAACAATTCTAAAAAGTCCAAGTCCAAAGTATCATGTAAGACTCAAAGCAAACCCTTAGCTGTGAGTCCCTGTAAAAAATTTAAAAATTAAGAAAAGTTAAATGCTGCCAACATACAATGGCAAAGGGTAAACATTTCCATTCCAAAAGGGAAGAATAGAGGGAATAGAAACCAATGGGACCAAAGCAGGTGGGGCAAACATTAAATCCTGTAGTTCCGTATTCAGTACCCAGGGCAACGAAGTGAATGCCACACAGCTTGGGCAGCCCCACCCCTATGGCATTGCCTGGGGTTGTAGCCTTCATGGCTCTCTCCTCAGCTGACTGCTCACTGCTTGCATCCTCCTTAGACATTCCAGTCCTAGCTTCTCCATTTTCACTGTACCTTTGGTTTCACTCTCACACCTTCCCACACTGTCATCTCCAAGGCACACTCAGGAGCCTCCCAGGCCTTCTTCTGAAGTCTGGGTGGAAGCCTCCTTGACTCCACAACTCTTGCACTCTGCATGCCTGTAATGATGCCAAAGTCTATGACCACCTCAAGCATTAGCAGGGTCCTCTTGGATCATGGCTGCATAAGCTTCTGGGTGCCTGGATGTCTGAACTCTGGAAAAGATTTCTGCCTTTGGCCTAGAAAGAGCAGAATGCCTTAGGTCTCATTTTTCAAAGCAATCTTTCACTTTTACAGAGCAAAGGGCAGAGTCTTTCAATTTTTCAGGATGCCCTCAACACATCTTTCCTGTTGTCCTGACTCAAAATACTTGGCTTCTTTTTCGCTTTTAGCAACCTCATTCTCAATGAAAACATTACAGACCTCAATTTCACTGAACCTCCCTTTCAGGTGAAACTCAAAATTTTTTGTTCTGATTTCTTACTGCAAATCTCACTGAAAGCAGCAAGTAGTAATGCTAGAGCCTGAACATTGGACTGCACTGAAATATCCTCCACCAGTTTAATTAATCCACCACCCTTAACTTAATCTCAGTCTCCCACAAAGTCATAGTGCATGAGCAAAATGTAGACAAATTTTTCTACCACAGCATAACATGCATGGCCTAGGGTCCAACTGCAGTGAAGTTCCTGGGTGAACCTCCTGAGCCTGGTTTTTACTGTCTCCAATTTTATCAGCATTCTGGTTTTCGGACCAGAATCTTCCATTGAGCTCGGCTTACAGCTAGGGCTTCTTTAGCTTGCATCTCCAAACCTTTCAAACACTTCCTATAAACCAAAGTACCAAAATCTTTCTTAGCTACTTTTTCATTATTGAGACTTAATACCTGACACCCACATCCTAAAGAAAAAAATATATTTTGACTCGTGGTTACACTCCATGGTTGGCCGGATCCAAGGCAGAACAGCATAGCAGAGAGGCATAGCAGAGAAAAGCTAGGAAGCAGAGAGAGAAGGGAAGAGCCAGAGAGGGAGATAAGTAAGCCCTTTCTAGTCATAGCTTAGTGACCCACCTCCAACCAGGCCCCACCTCCTAATAGCAAGTCAGCTATAGTGACCCCATAATTCAGTTATCTTCCAAAAGCTCTGCCTCTGAGCTCAAGGCTCTTGGGGGACATTCTCAACTTAAATCATAACAAGAAGCAACTTGAACTTTCTAATTTACCTTGGAATTCTTAGCATGTGGTTCAGTGCCTATAATTCAAGTTTATAGTTAGTATTATTTTTGCTTGAATGAAGAGATGCTTAGGTAAATCCACTTTTTGAGGTTTTGATTTCTTTACGCTCTCGTGGATTTCTTTTTACCTTTGGTTGATAGCCAGTTATCTTTGGGAGAAAGTAGACTTTAATAACTTCCTCTTAGATATACATATTTCCAAAATCTTTTAAGATTCTAAAACATTAGAACCAAAAATATTATTTTTCTTACAGACTGTGTACCATTTATCCTTTCTAGAGATTCTCCTTGATGATATTAGAAGCAAAGTCTAAGAAGGAGATTACAGGAATACTCTTTTAAAGCCTTAAATGAGTGGCTCCAAATGCTGTTCTCTTAATTCATTAATTATTTATTATTTATCATACAATTTTGTTAGTTATTGGACACTATTCATTCAGTAGAATCTAGTTCATTTAGCCAAAGATTAGAAGGAAGGCTTTCTTTTTTATGCTGAGAAGGAGACCTGTCATTTTTTCACATAGACAGTAAGTACTGAATTTTCATTTTGATATCTTAAGTTTCATTATCCATCTGTATTACAGTAAATTTTCATTTATCATTGTGAGTAAAGAAAGTTTTTCTCTTTAATTTTATATGCAAAAGAGATATACCCAATATGTATACCCATGTATATAGATTACCCAAGGTATATAGATTATGTATGTTTGTCTCCCCTCTGTTACAGTCCCTTTGAGAATAGTATTTATTGCTTATTTTGAATTTTTATCACCACCCTTCCCAGTGATGAAAACAAATAGATCACTGGTTTTATTTTTCACAGATTCATTCTAATTCGCCTTGGTGGCTGAACGTAATCCATAGAGCAATAGAATTTTCTAAGGATGAGGAACTTGTTCAGCGAGTACGAAATGAAATAACCAGCAACTACAAGCAACAAACCGACAAGCTTTCTATGTCAGAGAAGTAAGAAAACTATATATTTCTATATACTGTATTAGCCCTTTTAAAATGTCTCTTTTTAAAGCCTTTTAAAATCTTTTCCAAGTATTTTCTTTGTTGGATACCCCCAAAGCCAACGTCAAGCAAAAATTAAAGTTTTTTATAAGGCCTCGTGCTCTCCATGTGTGATTCGTTCTCTAGGAGCTAAGCATCAAGTGCCCTGAAGGGCCCAGGTCTTAAATCAGAATTACATACTCTCTCCTCCTGTCTTTCTTCTTACCAACACTTACTATTCTGCAGGATCTTCAGAGAAAAGGTAGCTTGTTGCTCTTAAAGTGTAAATGGTGAATAATTCTTCCCCAAGGATACATTTACTCCTTATTAAAAGTACCCTAAGTGGGGCCAGGGACTTAGTTCAGTGGTGCTGTCGCCTGCCTCATAAGCACAAGGTCCCAAGTTTGATCCCTGGTACCAAAAGAAAAAAGAAAAAAAAAAAAGTACCCTAAGTGGTTTAACCTAAAGGAATGTCTATCTAGTATGGGAAATTAAGTGTTGTAGCAGAACACATAATATTATATAAGCATATACATAAACCATGTTACCATTACATAAATATGGCTTTCTATTTATGTACCATTACATAAATAGAAAATAACAAAACATGTTTCAGATTGTGTAAGAGTGAACTTATCTCTATAGGTAAGTACTTTTATTGTATTACTGTATATTCAGACATCATTTTGAACTATTGTGTATACTTTTGCATGAAATTGATATCTTGAATGCTAAGTTATTTGCGTTTGTCCCTCTGTCACTGAGGAGGGGTGTGTGTGCACCACCTGTGGGCTCTGTGACCTTGGGAAGGTTACTGAAGCGCTGAGTCTTGGGTTCTTCATCTGCAAAACCTGCAGCACTGATATAAGAATTCGACACATTGATACCGGGAAAGCACTTATTGAGAGACGTGTCCACCAGGCAGGATGGTGTGTAAGAGTTGCCGGTCATTGTTAGTATTTATTTCTCTCTCATGTAAAGAACCTGTAAGAGAGAACATTGCCAAACAGTAATAAGTAATACTGTTCACCCTCGTTTACATGGCCCAGAGTTGAGTGAGTGGAGAGAAATTTTTCAATGCTATACTTCTTGTTGCTTCAAAGGTTATTTTTCAAAGAATAATTTAAATTTTTAATAAGTGAGAAATAAGAAGCCTCGTTTTCTTCTTGTCAGTATTGATCCCTTACCTAATTTTATTCAAGTACCTATACAGATTTTTTTTTTTGGAAATTATTGAGCAGCTATTCTATGACTGTTATATTTTTAAAGAAAGGGGTATGGATAATCCTTACCTTCTAAAGCTCATAGAAAAGGCAAAACCATGAACAATTTAAAAAATATGAGTATATGTGGAAACTAAATATAGCAAACAAGTAAAGTATTTTCCATTATCTCCATGGAGAGAGAGAAACAGATTAGTGTAGAAAGATATTGACAAAGTCTTCAGGAAAGAAAAGCGGGTCTTTTGAACAATTTGTAGATGTCATACAGCATTTCAGGAAGGCGACATGTACACTCTCAAAAGCAAACAAATCATCTTTATATTTTGCCAATTTTAATCTATTACGCTAGGCTTTTTCTTCTTCTCACAACCCCATGTGCCGCACACACGCATTTTCTTCTCCACTCTTCACAGTTGGGCGGGGTGGGTGGCTAGGAGCACTGACTGGAGGGCCAGGGGTGTAGCTCAGAAGTGCTCAGCCTGCGCAAGGCCCCAGCTTCCTCCCTCCCTCCTTCCCTCCAAAAATAAATTTTAAAAGCACTGTATTTGAGTTTGCCTGGTCTTTGCCACATAATGATTTGGGTAATAACTTTGTAACCATAGATACCTTAATTTATTAAACTCCATCCATAATCTGAGCACAAGAACAACTCATGAGCACATTAGAAGTACTAGGCAAAGTGCCTACTGTCTAATGACTGCGTAATTAAAAACTTGAGCCAGGTGACGGCGCACACCTGCAATCCCAGCACTCTGGCAGGCTGAGGCAGCAGAAACACAAGTTTAAGCGCTGCCTGGACAACTTAGTGATTTAGAGGGCCCTTGTCTCTAAATACAGTATTAAAAAATGGTTGAAGATGTAGCTCGCTGTGAAGGCCATGGGTTCACTCCCCAGTACTGAAAAAAACAAACCTTAATTAAAAAATAATGATGTTGTTTCTTTGTAATGATGACTATGACTTGGCTATTTGACTATTTTTTCTTCTCAGTGTTCTGATTTTATTTTCCTGCAGTCACGTCTTTGTATACCACAAGAATGTCAGGAGGAACATCTGTGCACATTCACCTTTAAAAAAGAAGAGTATAGCAATTCTGATCTAAAAACAATTGAGATAGAGACATATTTGGCACAGTCCCCAACGTTGTTTAACATTGACTGGGCACCCTTAAAAACACTCCTAAGGAAAACTTACCCAAGTGTGGTTGGGAAAATGTAGCACACAGTTTCTTTAACACTTTACTTGGCATCCATTTTCTGAATTTGAGGAAATTGATCCAGTATTATTTTCTTTGTGCTGTGTGTGGTGTTGGTCATGGGAATCAGGTTCCACGACTGCAGAGGTCTTCAGTTCTTACTTACAACACAAATGGATGAACTAAGTAAATTCCAGAAGCTGGTAAGAGAAGCTGTCAAAAACCTAGAGAAACCTCCATCCCGTAATGTTATTGAATCTGCAACAATCTGTCACCTCCGACCAGCCAGACTTCCTCTCAACTGGTAAGTTGAAGAAATCCTACAGCTAAATGCCACCATTCCATTAAGCTAGATTGTATCTTAGGAAAGAAATAATGCCTTATAAAATAAAGTATTCTTCATTTTAATTCAGACAAGTAGAAAAAGATATGTTAATAATAAAATAACTCAAAGACTATGTAATAAAAACCATGTAGTGTTTTTTCTAAAATGGATACCTCTTTAAAGATAAAATGAAGTACAATATACTAAGCCTCTTTTAGAAATTATCTGATTCCTCTATATTTTTGTGAATATGCTCTGATAATCTCTTTCAGTTGTGTCTTCTGTAAAGCTGATGAATTGTTCACAGAGTATGAGTCAAAACTGTTTTCTAACACGTAAGTTCTCTTTTGATTATTACCCATCAGGAAAATGTAACATTTTATGAGAGTTGATAATTTGATTGTAAGACTATATTTTCCACTCTAGCCTTTAATATTTTTTTTTCTTTTATTAAATCAATTTAGTAAACCTTTATTATTTGGTCATTTAACTTGCTCAGCTTTACCTAGGCAGAAGTTTCCCCTAAATGCTTATGTCATGTAGGAATGTGTATCTAATTGAGGGGTATTTAATAGGAGTGGTAAGATCCTAGGCTCTAGAGTCTAGATTTAACTGAAACCCTTGCCCACTTTTATGAATAAATTCCTTTTCTAACCTCAGCATCTTAATTTATGAAATAAAGACTCCTTTTTCATTGAGTTTTTAAAATATTAAATAAGAAAGGACAATAAAATACTGTTTAGTAAAATCCTTAGTAGCATGTATACTATAAAAAATTTAACCCTCATTTAATACCTTTCTTAGCAGAGTCTTCATCCTTGCATTGGGGATTAAACTAGTGAGTGCATATAGTTGTGGCATTGGCGAAATTTTCTCTGCTTAGCAAACATGGAAATTAAGAAAAGGCTAAGTTTTGTCTCCCTCTCCTCAAAAAGAAGGGATTGATGTACTTTTAGATCATAGTATGGTTCCCTTTTTGTCTTGTGTTTGTTTGATGGTTTTTTGGCTTGGTTGATGATACAGTGGTTTATGTTTTCTCAAAGTGAGATTTATAGTCTGGAATTGAGAGAGATCTTTGTTATCTCAAATTGCTGTCAAGAAACACTGAACAAATTATGATGCTTCCAGCATTTTTAGAGTTGTTATTTTTCCAAAGACATGAAAGGATAATCTTGTAGATGTGATACTGAAAGTCGTTGAAAAGTTACTCACCTTGCTTCACTCCTTGTTCTGCCAGTGTCACTCATTTACTGACTTGCTACCCATGGACAGTAGTTACTGCTGTTTTGCTCTGGTATATTTTCAGAGTCAAAGGCCAGACTGCAATATTTGAGGAGATGATAGAAGATGAGGAAGGTCTGGTGGATGATCGAGTACCTACCACCACCCGGGGCCTGTGGGCAATAAGTGAAACAGAGCGATCCATGAAAGCAATACTGTCATTTGCAAGATCACATAGATTGGATGCGGAATTCATAGATGAAGGAAGTGCCTCAATGGAACTCTTTGAAGCATGGAAGAAGGAATATAAGGTACAGTGTTATAAAACTTCCCATGTTAAACCTCTTCTCCTTTACATTAATTTTTAATTACTTCTTTTCCTTTTTCTCTAGTTTTTCTAGATCTGCTTTAGAGATTTGAGGTCTCATAATTTCTTTCCCTAAAATGTTATTATTCTAATAAAAGATAATAAATAATATTTAAATTCTGTTTAAGTTACTAAAAGCAAGTCCTCATTAAACTTAAACTTGTATAAAAGCTTTTGTCTAGTTGTGAAAATGTTTCATTGTATTCTTCCCTTGATCTTACACTACTGTTCTATGAAACTAGATTAGGATTTTATTTCTTTTTTGTTTTGTTTCTGCTCTGTGAATAACAACCAAATAGTAATATCAGCCTTGAAAACTGGGCAACATAAATATTTCTCAAGCTGAGAAATGTAAATATTTCTCAAGTGAATAGAGCACAAAGTAGCCTTTTATATTAAACTGTAATAATTCCATTGCATTGTAGCTCTGTCCTTGAGATTACAGTATTTATTAATTTTGAATTCTTTAAATGAATTTGTTATCTTTGATAGGTAAGAAAAGGAAAAGTGTTATTTACAGTGTCATATTTCCTGTATTAACTTTCTTTAAAAAATCTGAAGTTCTTGCTTTTTAAAACTAGGTAAAAATTTTTGTTCAGAATGAAAATAAATGTCTTATATACCACTACGTACATGTAATAAACTGGGAAATGACACTTTTGTAGAGTTGAAATCATCAATTCATAGTAATTTTTTCCTTGTATTACTGTTATAAATTCATAGCATATTAACAGTTAATTACAGCAACCTGTGGAAGAAAAGAGTATTATACACAATGTCCAGTGACCCTTATATTCTTAATTAGGGCCCAGTTTGAGTACATCCTATGTGTCCAAAAGAGAGTATCATGTGTTCTCCTTTATTTTTGTGCATTTTATTTCATAATTCTGCAGGCTAAACTCTTTCACAGAAAAGCGAATGAGCTACTGCTATATGTATTGACCTCAAAATATATTAGCATAGAAAGCATGGCAAAACATGTATACTGATATAATTTCAGAAATATACATATGACTGATTTATTAAGGATACATATTATAGTATTATACTTAAAAAGTGTGGAAACATAAATTATGAATAGTGGTTACCCCATTGTCTGGCATTGAAGGAAGAATGAATGATGAAAAACAGTGATACAATGAGGGCATCCCAAGGAATTTATTTTATTCTTTGAAATTGTATAGTGGATACTCAGTTGTATATTTTAATATTCTCTTACCATATATATATATATATATATATTATGAATATTTGAAATGTGTTATAATAAAAATACTTTTTAGGGCTGGGGATTTAGCTTAGTGGCACCGCACCTGGCTCATAAGTGCAAGGTCCTGAGTTCGATCCCTGTTGCAAATAAATAAATAAATAAAAATACTGTTTTAAAATAAAGCAGAGATTCTGTCAGTCTAGTATTGATCTGTGGAGGTCTTTGGTCTCACCAAGAAGGGTTTGAGTATTCTGTTCCTAAGAATCTGAGGCAGTGTCCCATGGAGCTCATTCATTCCCACTTCCTCATGTGTTCCTGAGACACGTCTTTCATCTTCCTTCAGTTGCTTCATGAGTATTGGATGACCCTGAGGAATCGTGTATCTGCTGTCGATGAACTCGCAATGGCTACAGAACGACTAAGAGTGCGGCATCCTAAGGAGCCAAAGCCAAACCCACCTGTTCATCATATCATTGAGCCACATGAGGTAAACTGCAAGTAAATCACAGGAAGGGCACAGCAAGTTGGTATCACAAAAAAATCCAAGACCCACAGAACAGATAGAGTCAGGGCATTGTTCTCTTCTATTAAATATGTTCTTAATCTCTACTAACAATGTGAGCCATCTGAAATTGGCTTTATAGGTTAAAAATAGCCAAAGATGAGCAAGTTTATATCTAATTCATGCCTAATATCCACTGTTTTGATGGTTTTTATTTCTGCAAGTTATGCATTCATCTGTTTTTTAGCACCTTCTAACTGTCAGATCCTCAATATTCTTGGTCATTTTTTTAGACATATTTATATTATCTCACCTTTATTAGAACTAGAAAAATTTTCCTCAAAAATAAATAATTTTTCTTTTGCAGTGATTTTCTTTTGCTATTTATAGGTGTTTGAAATTTAGCTTCTAATCCATCATAGGATTACACCAATCTTTTCCACATTAAAATGTTATTTCTTTTATAACTTATGTTTATCCCATGTGTAATGCTTTAAATTTATTATTTTCTATAAAGCTTGGAGAGTATAGCTTAGAAAACCTTCAAAATATTTATATACTCTCACTCACTTAAATATGAATTCTCAGTAAATTTTTCTTTAAAAGCAGATTCCACATTTAATTCTTTAAAGTGGAAAAAGAAAAAAAGGTAATTCCTATTATTTGAATTCTCCTTTCATAGGAGAAAGAAAGGCAAGAACATTCTTCTCTGATAAAATCACTTTGGTCAAAGCAGCATATCTTTTAATTTTTCTTCATCCCATGGATATATTACTGGGAAATGGCACATAAAATGGTACATAAATAGAATTTGAGTTGACTTTTGGCCAACTTTAGGTATATAGAGATGCATCCTTTTCAAAGAACTCTACACTAATTTTTATCAGGTATAAAGCATAAAGAAGTATTTTTTAAAATATATGATTAAATTTGAGTTTTAATATGTAAATGAATTTTCAGCCATCTTTCTGATTTTTAGTAAAGACTGTTACTTGTTTTTAGGTAGAACAAAATCGTATAAAACTACTAAATGATAAAGCCGTTGCCACATCACAGCTTCAGAAGAAACTTGGACAGCTTCTTTACCTAACTAATTTGGAAAAGGTATTGTTTTTAAAAGGTGCTACTTTTCCAGTATTGTATTATCATAATATTACCATATTAATGACTTCTTCCATTTAAAATACTAGTCCTGTCATTAGTATGGGTTTTTTTTAAGTTGATCTTTTATTTGTTTGTATTAATTATATGAGTCAAAAAACTAGCTTTGTTTAAAATAGCTTTACAAATCACAAAAGAACATTACATGTATAGAAATTATAATTTACATAGATGATGTTAAAAAACATCCACTACATAGAAAACAGCATAAACAGACTATCGTTCATAATATAGAAGTATTCCAGCATACATCTGGGTGAAAATTCCATTATGTAACATATACACATGTGTTCATTTATACATAATAGATATTTTTCAGTTTGCTCTTTAGAATTTTGAAGTGTCTGAAACCTGATAAATAAGGAGCTATGGTAATAAAGAATACAGTTTAATTGGAAACAGCCCAAATGCCCATCAACTGGAGACTGGATAAAGAAAATGTGGGATTTTTTTAAATAAAATGGAGTACTACTCAGCCATAAAAAATGAGAAATTAGAGACATTTAGAGCTAAGTGGATGCACATTGAGGCGATACTCTTAAGTGAAATAAATAGGACACACATGAATAAATACAAAATAGTTTCTCTAGTGTGAGAAACTGAAAGTGTAAATAAGGACTAAATGTATAATAGGTCATGTGAAATAGGAAAAAAAGGGGCAAAGGGGAAGGAAGTGGGAGGGAGGGCTAGGGGAAAGGATAGAAGAGAATGGGATTAATATGAGAAAATGGAAAAATAGGAACAAAATCTTTGTAAATAGGGAGGAATGGAGGGGTTGAAGGGAGGGCTGGGCAAGGGTGAAAAAATAAGAACCAAGAGAGACTATGTAAAGGTACAAATTTCCAATGATGAATGTCATTATATTGTATACCTAAAATGTACCAATGATTAGAATGAATAATCGATAATGTAAAATAGGAAGAAAAGGTCCAAAGGCGTAGGGGTAGTGGGAGGGGCAGGGGAAAGGAAAAATGCTGAGAAATGGAAAAAATGGAAATAAAGTCTTTGTAAATAGGGAAGGGTGGAGAGCGTGAAGGGAGGGCTAGGAATGGGGAAAAAATAAGAACCAAGATGCATTATGTAAAGGTACGATTCCCAATGAGAAATGTAATTGTGTTGTATACCTACAATGTACCAATAAAAGAATTTAATACAAAAAAAAAAAGAATACAGTTTAATAATTTAATGTAACTCACCATACTTTTTCTGAGTTATGATCAAAGTATTATATAAGACATTGATGATTTGATAGGTTGATAAATATTCCATTTTATGCAAGAATTTGTAGACTTATTAGTTGACAGAACATCTTATCAGACCTGAAAACTATTGTTACAGTAGCATAACATCTTTGAAATGCTAAAAGAAAATCTGCCAACCAAGATTTCTATAGTTACAGGAAATAGCCTGAAAAAAAACCATAAATTGAAATATTCTCAGGTAAACTGAAAGAATTCATCCCCAGCAGACTCACACTACAACATATTTTAAAGGAAGTTCTTTGGACTGAAGAAAGCATTATTCTAGATTGAAGGATAGAACTAAAGGAAGGAATGAAGAACAAATGAAAGCTTTAATTTGTAGGTAAACATAAAAAACTATTGACTATTTAAAAGAACCATGCTGTGGTATGGAATACACACATATGTACAAATAAAATATATGATAATAGCACAAAGGAATGAGATAAGCCAATGTAAACTATCGTAAGATTCTTCCATTCTTCAGAGAAATGACCAAGAATTAGGTAAGGTGTCAAACTTTGGGCACTTTGAATAAACATGGCCTAATTGACAAAGACAGCTACACCCAACAACTGCAGAATGTACCTTTTTTTTTTTCTGTGTACATCAAATTATAATGATTCAAACATAATTTAAAATTGCAAAGGATTAGCATTATGCAAGGATAAGTTTTCTTACTGAAGAGAAATTCAGTTAGAAGTCCATAGTGAAAAGATAATTAAATAAGTCCCCAAATTGGAAATTAAGAACACACTTCTAAATAACCCATGATTCAAAGAAGTTACAATGAAAATTTGAAAATATTCTGAACTGAGTCAAAGTGAAAATATGTGACAATATGTAAGATATGCTTGTAGGAAAATTTCTGCCTATTTTAATTGAAATATAAAAGGGAAATTTACACCTTTTAAATTTGGGATCTGCAGAAACCACACATAGGACCCTTCTAGCCTACCACTTGTTTTCATAAGTAAAGTTTTATTGGAACACAGCCATGCTCACTTATTTTCCTGTTGCCTATGGCTGCATTTCACTCTACAAACAGAATTGAGCAGTTGCAACACAGTATGGCCCACAAAGGCAAAAATATTTACAATCTGGCCCCGCAGAGAAAAAGTACCAGTTCTTTCTTTAAATATATCAGAAAACAAGAGATACTGTGGTATGGTAGATTGCTTACAAACTGATATAGTAATATCCCTGTATGTATAGGTGCTCGTAAGCGATCCACTCCCACACTGACTCTGGGCTTGGTCACATTGCTACTTTTGACCTTGTGATAATAGCATAGACCTAGAAAGTCCGTGTACACCAGGGTTCTCCCAATCTTATTGCTCTCTGAACTCTGAGACTATGTGAAGAAGACCAGATGGGGGAGCTGAGCCCATGGTTCAGCCTCTCCTGCACACCAGCTAACGTATCTCCTGCCAGACATGAGACAGATGCCATCCTGGACCATCCAGCCCCAGCCAAGCCAGGCCATCTCCAAATTATCCAAGTGACCTGGAGGATTGAAGGAATGCACAGTATTTGTTTTAAACCACTCTATTTTTAAGCGATTTATGATGTTACCTGAAACAGAGATCAGTTAACAGACAAAATCAGTTGTTCAACTATTTTAAATGCCTGTGCTTCCATTTTAGTTAACAAAGTTTTTGAATCCTGAGAGGGGCTGAATCTTTGCACAATTTTGAACTGTTTTCTTTTACTTGTGTTTTACTACTCACAAGTCAAAGAGTAATTTTTTTAAATGTTTAACTTTGATTGGTAAAACCACAAGAACTGTAATGATCTATCTAATTTACTTTCTTTTATGTTTTCCTCAGTTTTAAAACCTGTCTGGTAACTTTTTGAAAGCTCTTTCAGTTTTTATAATAATTTTAATAAGATTTTGAAAAGCCATTATGTTTTGATATAATTTCCAGGCATAAAAATCTCAAGTCAATAATATTTCCATTTTCCAGCTATTTGCCTTTCCAGTTTTTGCCTAATGAGATTAGAAAATGGCTAAGAGGCAGCCAGTGTTAGTAAGGGGTGATGTTATGTGACTATATGCTGTCTCTTCCTGTTCCTCTGATCTATGTCAAGTAGGCATACATGATAAGTGTGCATTTTCTTCCAATGTTTAAGGAGCTTTTATTTCAAAATTTTAAATTATATTTTTAAGTATTCTCTATTTCTTTATAACAAAATCTAACTTGAAAATAAAATTATGAAAATTTAGCATGTTGTATTTTGCTTTTATTTTTGCCGTGAACTACAATTACTGGTAACATAACTTAAACTATAATAAAACAATAATTTTATTATTTGCACCTTAATATTATGGTTGTAAACCAAGAATAATAATATTAGGTAATACATAAAATATTAGGTCGTCTCAATGACTAAGATTATTTAAATTGCAATTGCCAACATTCGCTTTTGTGAATTACAAAATATGTATCAGATCGCAAATGTAAACATATAACTAACATGTTTTTGCATTTTTCTTTTTTACATAGTCTCAAGACAAAACATCAGGAGGTATTAATCCAGAACCTTGTCCGATCTGTGCTCGACAGCTGGGAAAACAGGTGAAATTATAATAAATATTATTTACTTACAATCTTCAAAGGCTTCTACATACAATCTCTCTTTTTTCCTTCTTTCCCTTCCCTTCCCTTCCCTTCCCCCTTTCTTCATCACAACTATATAGGAATAACAGGAATTACCTCCCATGTTAAAGGTAGGGCCAGAGCTTAAGGCAACGTATGTTTGAACAATAATTGATAGGTTAAGAAAAAATACTTCCTGCTGGGCATGGTGGCACACGCCTGTAGTGCCAGGAAGACTGAGGCAGAAGGATCACTGTAAGTTCAAGTCCAGCCTGAACTACATAGCGAGACCCTATCTCAAAAAAAAAAACAAACCCAAAAATATATGTATATTTCACATTTCGATGTTAGGAACATTGAATAACCTATGTTTTTCATTTAAGATTCTTAGTTTTGAACATACTCCCAAGCATAAGATTATTTCCAAGTAATTTAATTTTTGTCAGTTTAACATAGTTATCTAGTAATAGTAGTAACATGGTTTCTTATACAGAAATACAATGTAATACACATAGGTTTACTTAAAGTGATACAACAGCACCATAATATAGCTTCTAGCATTATTAATAATCTTATAATCCAGGCTTTAAAATAAAAACAACATCTCTCCTAGGAAATTTAGATGTAATTTTTAGAATACTATTTTAGTACATAAGTGTGTTTCTTTGTTATTTTTGGCTTACAGATGTTTATAAATATGATAGCAACATACTAGTTTGCTTATAAGAATTTCATATCTCTACCCACCCAACTGTGATTTATTCCTGCTTTGTATGATAAATCAGTATATTTGTATACACTATCAGAATATCATTGCGTTTCAACACTTGAAAAATAAGTCTATTATTATAAGCAAGTAAAATATTTGTGGCTGCTTTTTTTTTTGTAGAACTGAGAATGTAAAACTAAATATGTAAGTTCCATATTCTGAGTATCAGTAATCAAGAAGAAATCTTTTAGTTTCCAAGATTTATGGGGAAGGTGCATTTTCAAAGGCCACTTCATTTGATTATAAGTTTTAAGAGGATAGATATTACATTGGAAAGTAAACAGCGGAATAGTAGTGTACAGATATTGATGTACTGGTGACCAAAGTCAGGATAAAAATACTGTGCATGGATTGGAGTGGGGTCCAACTCTGGTAGAGCTTGTGCCTGAATTCATGAGGCCTCAGATTCGATCCCCTGCACCACCAGGGGGTGGGGTGCTCATGCCACAGTGTCTTTTTTTATTTTTAGCTTTGATGAGATTTGTGCATTTGGATTGTCTCTGAAATTTAATTTCATTTTTGTCTTAAACATTTACAATGTAAAGATGTTTTATACACATTGTTTGATTCAATTCTAGTATAAGCCAGGTCCCCTCCACTTAGAACAGGCTGGATCCTAGTAATGGTAATAAACTGTGTTCGTACCCACAGTCTGTAGGAACTTTATACCTTTCTCCTTAGCTGCCAGTTCTCCACCTCCTCTTATAACTTAAGACTATTAAAGTTAGGAAGTATCAAAGGTAACTCATGTACCTCTTGATGCTGCTGGGGGTGTTGCCATTTGTTTCTCAGTTTGGACCATTTCACTGTAGCATTCTCCTAATATTCAGGTGTGGGATGGCTCTGATTTCCCCTCCTTTGTGAATGTGGGTGGACCTGTCTTGCTCTGTAGCTTGTCCATTCTGCTTTCCCATAGATACAAAAATCCTCTCAAGTAGAGAAAGTACCCTTAGTCCTCAGTGGCACTGGAGGTCCATAGTGTACCAAACAGTGCTGCTCTGTGTGAGACAAAAATGCTAGTGAAGCACTTAATTGTGTTCCTTAATTTTGATCCAGCCTTAACTCCTGAGGACCCTGGTGCAAGCCCTTGAGAACAGAGATGCAACTAGAGGGCAGTAGGAATGATACCAGCCAACCAAACCCAAAATAATCCCTATTCCTTTTGAGTAACTAAGTAAACCAGCCTTCTTACCTCCCGCAAATTTTCACTGGTGTGAATTCTTTTCCAAGGAGCTTATTAGAGCTCCTACGAAGTACCTAGGGTGGGTCCAGCTACACACTTCCTTTCCATACAAGTCTAATTCCGGGAAGAAGCAAAGCTAGAAACTGACGAATCTTGCACTCATAGCACCATTCAGTTTTCATTGTTACTGTTTTTACCAGGTGAATAAAGGTTAAGTAATTTCCATAAAATACCATAACTTTGTTGCCAAAGAGAGGCGTATGCCTCCTGGTATGCACCAGAATTTCGAAGGTTATTGTTTCTCTTTAAGTAGTACAAAATTTTGCCCAAAAATGTCTTTTTGAGGTTTTTAAATGTATCCAGAACCACTTTTTAAATAAATCAGGTACTAGTTCATCTCATTTTATATACAAATGCTTCAACATGTGAAAATATGAATCTATTTAGTGAACTGAATAGGATATATTTTCTACAAATTTGGTTCTCAGTTTTTCTATTATGTCTGCTGTTAAGAGTGCTGAAAGAATAATTATTTTCTAAATCTGAAATGAGAATACCAACTTCTTACAAAATAATGATGACTGACTTATAGTGACAAGAGCTAAACACTGAAAGCTTACTCTTTAGACCTAAAATAATTTAAAAAGCATTTATGTCTTCAGGACTGTTAGTATCATGAAATGTTCAGCAAGTGAAATTGTGAGTCACTTCTTTTATTATATTTAAAGACTGGAAAGCATCTGTAGTAGCATCTCCCTGAGGCTTGTGCCTTTTTTTTCTCTTCTAGTGGGCAGTGCTAACCTGTGGGCACTGTTTCTGCAATGAGTGCATCGCTATCATTATTGAGCAGTACAGTGTGGGGTCTCACAGAAGCTCCATTAAATGTGCCATCTGCCGCCAGACCACATCTCACAAAGAAATCTCCTATGTCTTCACCTCAGAGCGAGCAAGCCAAGAGGAGGACATCCCGGTGCAGGTAAAGGGGCCAGGAGCGCGTCAAAGCATAGTTAGAGCAGTGCAGCCGGAATCAGTATCTGACCAAGGGGAGCATTAAAAGCAGAACAAAATTGGCACAGTGAGTATGTGGGAACCGCTATTGTCCATGAAAATCCTTCTTGAAAGCTTCAGTGTTACCACCTATTCCTTCATTGTGGGAGGTTCACAGCAGCACTTGTTCTAACATGGTTAACAATAGTCACTTACCTGCTGGGCACAAAGAATTCCAGTTCCATGTCATTTATACCAGTGATGGCAAACCTATTAGACTTCAGTGATAACAAACAGCCGGCTGCAACACACATGCTATAGGTTCACCACCACTGATTTATCCTATTTCTGATCACTACAAATAGACAGAATTCTGGCTTATTTAAAGAAAGCTTTTTCTTTGTTCTTTTAGTCAACCTTGGTTATCAGATAAAAAGGATATGCCCAACAAAAATGAAGGGAAAAATAGATTGGTTACTGACATTAATGAAGACTTCACAAGAAAGGCATCATGTGCATTTAAACACCATGTACTGATATTTCAGGGTACAAGCAAAATTTCATTTCACTTTCCTAATTTTTTCCCATGCTCTTTCAGGGTTTTTGAATAACTACTAATTTGAGAAACATACAGGATCGATAATGGGACTTTCTGCCTAAAGAGTACTTAAATATTTAATGAAAATCCTTTATTAGACATATTTGTTCCTTGTTTTTCTTAAATATGCTTCTTAAAATTTTTCTAACCAAACTTGGACTAAGGGCAAATCAGTATGTAAATGTAGTGGGGAATATGGCTCAAGGGATGGCATAGAGAAGGGTGGAGCTAACTCTTATGCCAGCAGAGTCTTCTTCATTAGTTCTTTCTAGATTCTTTTTGGATTCCTTGTATTTTCTTTTCACATGTTTTTAAGGAATGTGTTTTGTGAGTAGAATTAACTACAACTAAAAATTTACTGCCAGGAGTTGGGCAGTTGTTAGGGTGCCCCAGTTCAAGAAAACTGTAGTTGGATTAAAGAATTATTAAATGCTGGGGTTTTTCCCACTCTCATAATCTTGAAAATATCAGTCACAGTGCTCTCTAGGATGCTGGGGTAAACAGAAACCAAAAGTTGGAAAAAACTTTCATTCATTCTCTCATTCCACTCCTAACTTGTAGAACACGTGCTGTGTGGCAGGCAGTGTGCTGGGCCTGACAGATGCAGTATCCCCTCATGAGTAACAGAGATATGGGCACTGCCCTTGTGGATTTTACAATTTGGTAATACAGTTTCTAAAGGAGGAGCAGCTGAGCCAACCAGGAGGAGGATGGGCGTGATCTTGTGGAAAGGAAGTTCCCAGGCAGAAACACACACACACACACACAAACAAACACACACAAAATAGGAATAGATCCGAGACAAATTACTGAAATGAAACTGAGTGGCTGAAAGGCAGAGAACAAGTTTGAAATTTAGTGAGTCTATAGCCCTAAGCGGGTCTGAGGTATTACAAGCCTACCTGAAAGTTTGAGAACTTTATTTCCACTATAATTAGAAAGCCTTTAAGTTGTTATAAGCAAGAAAGTATCATGATTGGATTTAGATTTTTTAAGATTCTTCTTGCTGCAGTGTGGAAAATAGATTAATGAAGGATAGAAAAGAATAGAGTAGAAAAAATTGGGAGAAATAAGTTTAAGAAGCTAAAGAAGTCATATTGGTGTATTTTCTGAGGTAACAGCAGTGGAGATGGAGAGCAGTGGGTATGTCCAGGAGGTATGTAAAAGTTAAAGAGGAAAAGAGAATGTTGGAGGTGAAGGTGAAGATGGAGGCTTCGTAGATGATCTCTTAGTTTTTGGTGTGGAAATCAAGTGGATAATGTTGTAGTTAATGATAAGATTTGGAAGACGAGTACATTTAGAACATATTATATTTGAAGTTTTTCATGTGGAGTTGGAGATATAAACTTGAGAGTCTGTGGCATAAATGATCTTTGAAGCCATGAGATTAAGGAAAGAAATAGAGAGAGGTTAGCCTTGGGTAATTCCCATAACTTTCTAAAGGTTGAATAAAGAGGGAAAGGTTAGAAAAGAAGCTAAGAAGAAACTAAAGACATGGCCAATCCAGGACAGTGGCCATGAGAACACTGCTTCAGTACGGAGACGGTTACCAGCTGAAGATGGATCAGCTGCACATAATATGGACTTTTGTGGCTAGCAGAAGTCATTAGTGACTTCACAAGGAACTCTTTCAATGGAATGAATGTAGAAGAGAAAAGCACATTGGAAGAGATGAAGACTGAACACGAAGTGAATAAGTGGAGACAAAGATATCCAACTGTTTCATAAACGAGGCTGTGAAATAGAAACCCAGAGTTGCAACCAGAGACACGAAGTACAGAAAGACAGTATTTTTGTTTTTGTTTTTTTGAGACAAAAAATTCTTAAGCATAATCTCCATTTAAAAAAAATAAGATAGCCTGAAGATGTAGGCAGGAAGAGTCTGTAGTGTTAAGTTTCTTGAAAAGGTAGGGAGAGTGTTGATATGTGGAGAGGAAGTAGAGGTCTCATTGAAGTCAAACAGCAGCTATAGGTTGGGCTCTTGAGCATCCAAGCTATTAGGAAAGATGCCCTTATCTGAATCAGTGACTTCAGAGGGGACAGCATTAAATGCTGTAGGTAGTAGAAGTAGGTGACCCAAGTGAGATAAGGGGAAAGAGATGCTAGAAGATGAAGTGCTGAGGTGTAGGTGTTGGATGGGTTGTCCAAGTGTACGGTACGTAATCCCTAGAATTGAGATTTAGAGGTAAAGATTGTAAATTAGGCACCAAAGTTCTTTAGTGAATGAAAGTTAGCATTCAGTAAATGATAGCAGCAGAGTTAGAATGAGAGGATAACTAGGCTTTAGGAGGCTCGAGAGAATGGGGAATTTTTACAAAAATGAGAAGTATTGACCTGAAATCTGCATCAGGAACCAAAGAAAATAATACCAATACCTAAGGCAAGGATATGAGAGAATAAATATCCTCCATTCACAAGGGCTGCTGAGAGGATATAGCCAGGTTCTAATTGAAGCAAGAAAGTAAAGAGCAGTATTTCTACAACGTTAAAAAAAAAAATAAGTACAGGTTTTTTGATCTTAAGTTCCATGGGGCACTAGCAAAAGGTTCAGGGGTAAAAGGAGAAAAGCAGAAGGGTGAATAAGCAGGAGTGAGCTGCGGAACAGTGTAGAGTAACAGAATGAGCAAGGACAAGTGAGGAGAGGATGACACGACCTAAGACCACCCAGTCCCATTCTCTTGTCTGTGAATGCCCTGGATAAATGTGTGGGGTGGTGGTTGTTGTAGTTGTTTTTGGTACCGGGATCGAACCCCTGTCCTTGTGCTTGCGAGGCAGGCAGTGGAACCACTGAGCTAAATCCTTGGCCCATAAATGTGTGTTTTTAAGGTGGATGCCAGAGAGTTGCAGAGTGAAGAGGCCCGCGATCTTGTGTACAGTCCAGCGACCAGCCCTGAGGCTTTTGGTCCTGCTCACCACTCAAAGAACCACCCTCCTCCCCGCCCTCTCCACTTTCTCCCCACTCCCTCCTTTCCCCTTCCCTTCTCCTTCCCTTCCCCTAAAGATAGGCTTTCTTAGTTCTTTTGTGTTTTTTTCCTATCTCATTCTTTGGCCACAGGCATTCCTGGGGCCACAGGTGGCATTTGTGGCCACAAAGTAGCTCACTCTTAGAGGGTGAAATCTCAGCACAGTACAAGCAGCCAGCCTGCGACAGAACTGCTGTATCAGCCACAGCAGCAAGGCCGAGGAAGTGATTGCTCTAGCTACCAGTAAACAGTGCAGCCTCAGACTGAGTCACTGAGCAGCCAGGCCCGAACACCTGTTCCTTTTGTGGCAGCTTCCCTGGACACCCAAGAGAGAGATCAGGGCAGTTACACTCGCCATCCTGTTGGGACAGGCATACTTCGAATTGTGCTCTCGCTTCTTCCTGCCTTTCGTTGGTCCTGAGGAACACATGAATTAGTTGAAGCATCTTATTTAAAAACTATACAATTATAGAATTTGCTAGAGAAAATGATTTCACTCTTGGCTAAGATGGTGATAGTCTTACATTTCTCTTTATGGAACCCATGACTGAATGTTGTACCTATCATGTAAAGCAGTTTTATCCCTCCGCCACCTTCTCACATTGCTTTTTGCACATTTATGTTTGCTTCTTATTTCCTTTCCTGTCACCTTTTGTGTCTGCCACTTCTGCCATCTGAGCCCTGTCACCTCTTCTGCCTTGTGCACATTTCTGCCCTAGTCTGTCACTTTCTCCTTGAAGCATCTGCTTATTGTATTTTCACTTTTCCCCTTAGTCTTCTGACTCTCTGAAACTTCATCATTAAATGGTCATATCATGTATCTTGTAGAAAAGAGTGATCATATATAAAATAAAGATGAGTCCATATAAATAATTAAGGTATCATTTTGAAATTTTAGAACTATTGGTTCCTAAACCTAGGGGTATTTTTCTTTTATGCTATTGCTACTATTGAATCCCTTATATTTAATAAACAGTATTGAGAATTTTTTATCTCACTGAAGTTTTTATTTTATTTGAAATGCCTATTTCATTGAAAGTATTCATGTCGAGACTCTTGGACATAGCGAACAATATAGTGATTTTCTTAGTGTTTAATTATATGGCTGATATCAGATAAAAGATACTTGGAAAGTATAAAAAATACCATCGAAGAGTATCCAACTTTTTTTTCTGTTGATACTTGTGGAAATTAGAGATTGCAGAAAGGAAGAAAGCTTGTTGATCGACCTCAGAAATGAAATGAATATTGGAATCACAAACATCCCTTTGGCAGGTGCACTTAAGTTAAGGACTGCATCTTCGCTAACACAGTGTGACAGTATTCCTAAGTGACCCTTGGAACCTACTGGGCACTTCACAAAGTAAACAAAATTCCCCTTGCAAGTTCTGACAACTGCCAGGCATTTGGGATGGTGAAGTAGGCCTC